GACTTAAAGGCACTTTTACCGTACGTAACTAATAAAAATCGAACATATTACAATCATTTCATTGAACAAATAACTGCAGATGACAATAAAATAGTGGAATACCTTCCAGATGAACCTCAAGAAGAGGAGAATGTATTAGAATAATGGAAGTAGTATTGCCGATATTTTTTGATAATAAAATTATATTTTTTTAATTTTTGGATACAATTTTAGTTTCTTACTACTACTTTTAATTTTCTTATATTGAATTACAATGAACTTTGTAACTCCATAATAAATTATTAAAATTATGCTGTTATTCTTATTGTTACTTTTTTTTGTGATGGCCAATGTCATACACAATGAAACAAACACGTCATAAATTTATGCAATAAGGGCCAAAGTCATTTTTTTTGCTAAGACTTTTGAATTTAGAAAAAAAAAATAAAAAACACTATCATATTCTGCTCAAATATATTATACATTGAGTCAAATCTGGTACATAAAGGTTTTTTTTTTTTTTTTTTACCGCATCAACCCCTAGGGTTATTAGCGGGGTGGTATATCTTTATTTTAGAAAAGTTACATTAATATGTTGTTAAAATTTACATAGCAGTTTTGGAAAATAAACATTTTATGTTATGTTACAGTCTGTTATAGAGTTTACAATTTTTGATAAAATTTATTGTGTTATTGATGTCTTCTTCTAGAGTTTCTTTTAAATTGTGGTTTATTTTTGCTGTCGATCTTGCTGTTGAGTACACTGGACAGTCTATCATAATATGTTGTACTGAAAATGGTATTTGACAGGTGTGGCAAATCGGCTGAGGGTTCTTGGAGATGATGTATCCATGTGTAAATTTTGTATGGCCTAGCCGCAGTCTGTTAATAATTACTTGGTTATGTCTTTGAGCTGGAAGCGGTAGTAAAGCAGAAGTAACATCTGGTTTGATAATTTTTAATTTTGCTTCTGTTTGGTTCCATTTTACTTGCCAGGTTTTGTTAATATAAGTTTTTATTAATGTTTTTTGGTCTGAGATCGGTAAGTTTTGCATCATAGGAATTGTCGTGTTATTTATAGTTTCTCTTGCTGCTTTATCAGCTGCTTCATTACCCTTTATTCCAACAAGGGATGGTACCCATAAAAATTTTATGTTTTTACCACGTGTTTGGGCAATGTATAGCATGTCTTTTATGAGTGCTAAATTGGCATGAGTTGGATACATCTGCTTGACACCATTTAAGGCACTCAAAGAATCTGATATGATAAGAAAGTTTATATCATTGCTGGTACATTGGTTGAGTGCGTTGAAGATTGCTTGTAGTTCTCCAGTGTATATGCTACACTCCTTGGCTAGACGGGTGACAGAGATGTTGTCTTCAAAAATAGCTGCAGCAGCTACACCATTACTGCTTTTGGAGGCATCAGTAAAAATTAGTTTGAAATCAGGATATCTGGAGATGGTAGACTGGAATTGTTGTTTTATTTCAGAAGGGTTGTGTGATTGTTTGGGATAGGTAAGTAAGGTAAAATCTACTTTTGGTATTTGGACTTTCCAGGGAGGATACTGGCATCTATTTGTAGAAGTGGCTCTCAATTGATGTATATTGAATTCAAATCGATTTATTGAAAGGTAAGTTTCTAGGGCAATGATTTGAGTACAGATTTGGAGGGTTGCTTCTTATTAGGCTAGTTATAAACGGGTTTTCATTTGCACTGAGATATTTAGTAGCACAACACATCGAAAAATATTGTCTTCTGAGAGCTAATGGCGGTTCTCCTGCTAGGACTTGAAGGCTGCTAATTGGCGTGGTTCTGAAAGCTCCTAAAACTATACGTAATGCTGTGGATTGGATGATGTCCAGTTTGTTCAATTGACTTTTAGTAGCGGTTTCGTAGCATATACATCCGTAATCTAGTTTGCTTCTAATTAGAGCTTGGTATAATCGTAGAAGAATAGTTGTGTCTGCGCCCCATTTGTGATTGGAAAGAACTTTTAGAAGATTTATTCTCTGTTGGCATGATTTAATTAGTTCATTTATGTGCAATGTCCATTTGAGTTGAGAGTCGAATGTCATTCCCAAAAATTTGATTTCGTTGATTGTTATAAGAGTATTTCCGTTTAGTTTTAAATTTAAGTGGTGTTGTGTTTTCCTTTTGTCAAATATTATTACTTTAGTTTTTTCGGTTGAAAATCTCAAGCCTATATCCAACGACCACCCTTCTAATTTATTTAGTGTGTTTTGTAATATTGATGCAGCTGATTTTAGGTTTTTACTTCTCATATATATTACAAGATCATCGGCGTAAAGGTTTGCTTTTACTGGAAGCATAAAATGGTTAGATACGTTGTTGATTGCTATTAAAAACAGCAGGGGGCTTAATACAGATCCTTGAGGGATACCATTTTCCAGTAATTTCTTAGTTGACATGACTCCGTTTGTTTTAACTTTTATACTTCTGTTCTCCAGGAAGTTTTTGGTGAAGGCTAAGAATTTGCCATCTATTTTCCAACCTTTCATTGTTTTTAAGATGTGGTATGTCCACGTGGTGTCAAATGCTTTTGTGATGTCAAAGAAAATTGCTATTAATTTTTGTTTATGTATAAAAGCTTCGTGTATTTCAGATTCTACTGCTATAATATTATCTATTGTAGACCGTTCTGATCGGTACCCACTTTGGATGGATGTAAGGAGATTTTTCTTTTCTAAGTACCATTTTAATCTTTTGCTTAGAATCTTTTCCATTATTTTGCAGATGCTACAGGTAAGAGATATTGGTCGATACGAAGAAGATAAGTTTTTTGGTTTATTGTCTTTTAAAAATGGTATTATAATTGCTTCGCGCCAGAGAGATGGAAATTTATGGGTCGAATAAATTTTGTTGAAGATTTCCACTAAAGTAACCTTCGCGCTAATAGGTAGTTTTTCGATGAAAATTGGTGGTATGTCATCAGGTCCAGGTGAGGTATTTTTGAGGTTATTAAGACTTTCATTTAACTCATCAAGTGTTATGGAGGTGTTTAGTGGACTAGCAGTATCTTCTATGTTAATTTTTGATGTTTCTGTTCTTTCTTTATGTTTTAAGAAATTTGGGTGGTACTGTTGATTGCTTGAATACAACTGATAGTGTTCTACTAAAATTTCTGAGATTTCATGTTTGTCTGAAGTTGTTAGATCGTTTGTAGTTATTGTGTCAATATGGTTAAATGTTTTTGAACCTTTTATTTTCCTTATTTTTTGCCATATATCCCTTATGGGCGTAGATGAGTCAATTGACGACACGTAATTGGTCCAGCTCTCTTTTTTGCTTTCTTTATTAAAAATCTAGATCTGGCCCTTAAATTAATGACATGACTATACTCAGAATCGGGCATGCCAACTTTTAAAAACGTTAATTTGGATACTGCAGTTAGTTCTAGTTGTTTGAGTTCGTCTTCTATAATACTGTTCGGGATGCTGGGACAGATGTTTGATATTACTAGTCTCCTTGCTGGCGTAATAAGTCTTCGAATTTCTATCTCATTGCCTTGGATGACTACAGTTTTATGGTTGTTTAGTAAGGTATCTACTATGCTAGAACTGTTTAGGTAAATGCAAACTCGGTTGTTCGCTATTCGTGATGCGAAAATAACATTTTTTGGTGTGAGTAGAGATCCTATGGCTACTATGTATTCATGTATTTTAATACCTTGGATAGCTGACAGAATAATGGCTTGTTCTTTTGAAGGAAAATTGAAGTTGCTTACTGCATTGGAATATGTCGATGTTGATGATGTAGTAGGTATGCTAATATTTTCGGAATCATCCATTTTTAATTTTTATTTTCTTCATTTGATATAATTTTTCTAAAGCCGGTCCTGTATCGGCTAATTATTTCGACTTATCGAAGTTGCCAAAAAACCAGAAACCGGATTAATTGATGTGTTGTATTGAATTATGGGTTATGTATAATATTTACTAATATTGAATTTGTAGTAAATTAGTAATGTACTCACAGTTTGTTTTTTGTGTGAAGAAACTTTGTTGTTTAAATACACTATTAAGCTAACAATATTTTACGTTTCTTGATTATAAACCACTGAAAAGTTAGTTTTAGCAAGAGCAGATTTTAATCGGCACTTTATCAACTAAGCGCAGGGTTGGACCTTCGTACATAAAGGTTGTTCGCCGGTTAAGCTGTAATTAAAAATATTTTTCACCAAAACTTCAATTGCGATTTTCTGAAATATGAACATTTTGATATTGGTCCCTCTAGCTCCAAGCCACAAATATATTCCGTTTGAAAAGAAATTTTTCAATAATTTTTTTGTGAGACATGGTATACAGCCAGCTACAGGAGTTTAGTTTCTTTGTGGATGTTAATTTTTCGTTTTAAATTTTTGAATCTCAAATTAGGCTCATAATTGCTCGTAATCCCTACACCTACGTCACAGCGACGTGTTGCTGTGACAGACTTATTCGGACGATGAAACTATCCTTCTAGTTAACCGTTCTTGCCTGGAACCCATGTGACCTATTTTCTTTAGTGCGATTTAAGCGCCCCCAGTGGATATAACGAAAAGTTCAACTGCAGGACAGTTTATCAACGAATATAAACGAATCTTTAATATTCTATATGCGTCTATATTCGCTGATTGAACGTTTGCCAAGGCTTTACTCCTACGTCATATTTACTAATTATTTTATGCATTTATTGAGTAGATTGCAAATTGTAATATACACATTAAAAAGATGATATCAGTAACAAACAGTTTTAAAAATTAACGAATAATTTGCTTAATTATAATAAATGCGATAATATCGCATAACTGCGACGTGGTAGTAAATATATATAATAATATATTGATGATAACGCAGTCTTCAAACAATGCTTTGGATAAAAAGGTTATCTTATCACTCTTAGTTATATAAAAATAAAGTGCGAAGACAAAGAGAAAATTGCAGATCTAAGCTATTTTACAATAAAGTGAAATTAATACGTAAGTACATACGTAAAGGTTTTGTCAAAATATCAAAATGAATGTCCTAAAGAACCTTACAGAAGCTTCCAAAAGGAACAAGTAGATTACATTAATTCTTTTGATGAAGTACTTCTGGATGTCGACGGTAAGAAAAATATGTTCATATTATTCTAATACTGAAATTCAAACTACATCATTTAAACTAAAAAAACACTAAATAGATATTCGTTTAACTTAATCTTTAGAAAGAACTTTGCAAATTAACATATTTTAAAGACTTAAAAATTTAATTATTAACTTACCCTTTTTTGCTCAAATTAAGATTTAAAAAAAAACAGATTTTTTTACATGCATCGATTTAATAAGATAGCTTAAGCATAATTTATTTGTTTTTTAACTTTTTTGCTACTAAAACTCTTTTCCCAGAGATGGCACTTACAAATCCCGTCAGGAACAGGATACGAGATTCTGTCAGAAGATCGCTATTAGCGATTTTTGTTGCTATAAAAACTACTAAAAATAAAAGCTTTTATTATTTTTTATAAATAATTACTCTTAGACAAAACTTATAACGAGTTAGGAAGGCTGTGGTACATCGCAAAACAATTTTTATTTGAATTACAACACAATAGGCACCACACAATGAACACTTTGATTGAGGTCTAAACATTGCAAGTGAATTGCAAAATCACATCTTCCTCTCTGGGTGGTAAAAAAAGGCCAGTGTTTTCCCAAATTTCCCACTCTAACGTCATCCATCGCGCTGTAATTATACTTCCTCCTTTTGTTAGGTGTAGATTACTCCAAACTTCGGGAGCCTCGCTTCTTTGCTTCAGTTCCGTATGTTAAAAGTCCCATAGAACCGATCTTCTTGCCTCCAGTTGGCTGATTTTTTCAAATAATTAATTATATATAATATATGAATTGATAAAGGCAATGTCCAACATGCCACAGAATAATCGATGTCACCATTTCCGTGATTTTCTATCTATACAGTATGAACTATAGTTGGTCGGCAAGATCAACGCCGCCGATATTTGTGATGTAATCCTCCACAACGCTGGGGCATGGTAAGTTTATACTTGAACCATTTCTTTTCTGGAAACATGTTTTACTTCTGACCCATGAAAGTTAGTTGCAATGTAAACTGCTCTGTTATCCATCCACACAAAATAACTAATGTTAATATTAGAATAGCTATAAATAAAATCTCGGCGCTGCAATTCCTTTACTTTTACATTTCGAGGCAAGTCCTTCTGTTCTTATGAATAATTGTACCACACGTATTTTGTAGTTTTAGTATTTTGAGTAATTTTAAGGTCGTAAAGAAATTAGAATAGACCATAATTTGTAGTTTCTTTTGATGGACTTTTTCGGATTATATTGTTTCAAGATACTTCGTCCTTTACAAATGATCTTGTACCCTGATAAGTCTTCTGAAATATTCCAAGTCTCTTTCGCAATACTTTCGTACTTCTATTGTTCTCAATAGTATGTTCGATTTGCTCTTCTCATTTCTCTTTGGAACTGCTGCTGTATTTGATAAAATGTTTCTACTGTCATCCAGCTTGAAGGGTTAGCTAGTCCCAAGGTACCACGAGATGCTCCATTAAGCATATGCTCTTTAAAGAATTTACGTGGAGACACCATCACTGGTGGACAGTATGTGCCAAGTGCGGATATTATACAACAGGTGGTAACCACTATACCATGTTTACAACTAGTGCAGCTATTTACTTGTTCAATTCCTTTTTCAGTCACAACTTTTCTGGGTTCGTGGGATCGATTTTGGTACCTTCAATTTGTTTACTTTAGCTACATCTAATGTGCAGTTTTATAGTAGTTACACAGAATATCTTCCTGTGCATCTGTAAAAATTTTGTTCACCGAATAATTTGGTTGCATAATGATTGGTTAATTTTCAGGATTTTTTCTTTTCTTCTGGACATATCTCTGAAGGGTTTGAAACTTGATATTAAATTGTTGTGCCTCTTTTCATGAACATATTCCACCAATGACAGCATTAACAGCATTGGACATCTCTTTAGCAGACGTCTTGCCAATTTTGCGTGGAACATTCAGTTTTCTGGGCATCTGCAACAAAAACGGTATCATTACATTCAATTAATTGTATTTATATTCATTTGTGGTAAACAGTGAGATAGTCCCATTATGTATCAGTAATGCTTGTGTTACTGTGTACTGTTTGACGTTATTTTGAAATTTACCATTCTGAAAAAGTACAACAAGTTATAACTGCTTAAACTTTCAGCAAAATATTCCTCTGAACATTGTTTTAAATGTAACTTTATACTATCAAAAGTTAAACACATTTACACTACACGCCATATTGCATAAATACCAATAGTAGTGACATCTGTGATGTAATAGCCCTCCTCAAGTCGATTCGTAGCAAATGGTAGCAAACTTTTGAATTGAAATTGGTTGTCTTACTGTGTACCGTGTCTCTCTGTGTACCACCTTCCCCTACGCACCCTTTCTCCGTTAGTGACAAGCTTCCAGCTTCCTCGTAGCATCCATTGCGATAGCTAAACGATACGAAAAACCTAACTGATCACGCTTATGACTCATTTCGCTTATGATTTGTCAGACTTTTTTTAAAGAAATGTTTGGAAAGATTTTTTAAATCTCCACCCACTGTCTGGTCAGAGCTTAGGTAGTCAATAATTACCAAATAAACAATTCAAACTTCACAAATATGAAAATTACATGGTTGGCAGTGTTGTCAATTGTCCAAATTATTATTGCGATATTATTTGATACATAATACCAAAAATTTTTAAAGAGTTTGTGATATTAGAGACAAGGGTAAAATAGGGTATTTTTTTATATACAGATTGAACGAATTTAAAACGGATCATACAATTTAATATATGTCTGTTTGAACTGCATTTGAAATAGTGGACCAATATAAAACTTGGACAAAAATAAATCCATACGAGGTGTTAGACATTGTATAAAATATCGTTCAACTATCCGTCAACTTTTAGAACCCACCATAGTCTAGAGCGCAGCTCAAAGTCAATGTTGCCAATCGCCGTGTAATAATCCGATTTGCGGATCTTTTTGAGAGTTATATCTTCTTCGTATCTTTAAATAAATCGGATATTTGCCTATATTTTTCATTGTATTTACCAATCTACTACAACAGACTAATAACAAAAATAAACTTAATGGTTTGTAGTTATTTCAGAAGTTTGTAGTTATTTTAGAAACTACTAATGGAATGATATTGGCAACACCGCTCAAAATCTCCATCTCTGATAAACGAAAGAGGGGCTTGCCTAAAGGCGGACACTCACGATACAGCGACGTTGTTCAACTGCGTTTTTAACTACACACTTGCTTTGATCATATTATAGAAAAACGAAATGGCTTGATTTAGCGAGAATTTTTTAAGATAGTTTTTTAAATTATATAAAAAACATGAATGCTTATAGCGAATAAAAGGTAAAACGTATCACGATAGAAACGCACGAAAACAGGCAATGAACATTCTAGTTTTAAAGTTCCAAGAAGTAAACAAAGATGCGAATGAAGAGTATGTAAGAAAAAAAAATTACAATTTTAGAACATCCTATAAAAGAGAATTAAAATTAGCAGTGCAGCCCAGTAAATCGGGTGCAGGGGCAGACGAGATTTATTTTGCACCAAAATCTTGGATTCTTGGCACCATAATCTACGTTTTATTTTAGGTTTCTTTTTACGCTTAGTTATACACAAAGTAAGAGATGCTAAAATGATTGTTTGATTTGACATGGTCGAGAACCAAACAAATACTGCGGCTCAGTATGGTATGTGGGCGCACCAGATATACCAACAAATTGAACAACGCCTCTGTCCGATTATGTTGAACGACACCGCTGTACCGTGAGTGGCCGGCTTTAGGAAGCGATAGGTGGTTTGACCACCTATGAATGAGTTCTTGAATTAGTTTAGAATTTAGCAGCGCGCTGAAGTATTGGATTTTTATAATATAATTATTTGACAACCTTTTGTTGGCCAACCACCTAAAGCAGAATTGAGCCGAAATACATAATATTTCGTATGTTTCGAATTTATTTCGTTCAATCTGTAGACGTTCAGATTATCCAAAAATACAAGAATATTACAATGTGTTTTTAAAATTTTATTATAGGCGTAATATGGCTCAATAGTACTCCAATCCAGGGCGCAGTGGATTGCGTAAATAATCTTAAGAAACTAGGAAAGAAAATTAGATATGTCACGAACAATACAATAAGACCTACACCGACCATTGCAAAGAATCTGACTGAGAAAAACTTCATTACAAATCCGGAAGATATTGTAACTCCCAAAGAAACTACTATTGCCTACTTAGACCAGTTAAATATTAAAGACAAAGATATATTTATAATAGGAACACAAAATATGAAAGAGACGATTCGGAACGCTGGATACAAACTTCTTCCTGATCCAGTAAGTACCTAAAAATATATTAACTGTTAATATGTATTGTAATTTTCTAATGTATAAAATTTTAATGCACTAAATAAACAATAAATAAGTCTACTAATACGAAATCTCTTATCAAATCTCATTTTCTTGTGCGTTTTACTTATTCGTTTTATGCTTAACATCAGTGGCGGCTCGTGGCTTGAGAGAAAAGGTCGACAAGGTATTTTTTGTCTCCTCAGATAGGTATACCGTCTAATAAAGACTTCAATCATCATAGGAGATTTTTTGTTTTCTTGTTTTTTGTTTTTTTTGTTTTTTCACACGTCGAGTGTGAAGGAAACGTAAAAATCGATTTACCAAGAATTTGTATGCTGTAGAAAAAAATAGTTTTAATACGAAGTGTTCCTAAGACAATTTTAAACCAAATTTTTATTCGCACTTTTGATTTAAAATGAACCGTTCTCTCAGAAACAACGCTTGAAGCGATTGGCGATTTTAAATGTCAGTTACGCGCGCGAAATCAATGTTCAATAAAATTTGTATCAGCTCGACGATAAAAATTCGATATTTTGTGATCAGAGATCAGTGATCAGTAAAAATTCGACATTTCTATTGTCAAATATAAAGATGCATTTTAAAGTTACATAGTGCAGCTTTCGAATGCAATTTTTGTATTTAGCCGCAAATGAACACAGTTTTTGTAAAGGTATTAAATAAATCAACGTGACGCGATTTTGCCTTTTTTATGATTGTCACTGGGATTGGATATAAAGGATATAAGAATCATCGCCAATCTGTATTGGAATCAGACAGCAACAGTACGTCTTCAAAATTCCAACGAAACAGAAGATTTCTCCATTAAAAAAGGAGTAAGGCAAGGTTGTATACTGTCCCCAATGCTGTTCAATTTATACGTAGAAAAAGCCTTCGCAGAAGCAGTGGAAGACTCTAATAAGGGTATTAAAGTTAACGGCATATTTATTAATAACATCAGGTATGCCGATGATACAGCCATAGTGGCAGATAGCATCGAAGATCTTCAATGCCTTTTAAATGATCTAACTCTTGCAAGTGAAGCTCGGGGTTTGAAAATAAATATCAAGAAGACAAAATTAATTATTATAAGTAGAAATGATTACCCCAACGCAAAGATATATGTCTCTGGAGAAGAAATCGAACAAGTCAGGCAATTCAAATACTTGGGATGTTTGCTGAATGAGGGTTGGGACCCCGAGAATGAAATAAAGAGCAGAGTTGAACAAGCCAGAAATGCTTTTTTGAGGCTTCGTAAGTTTCTGACTGATCGCAAATTGGACTTCAACCTCCGATACAAGATGCTTAAGTGTTACGTGTGGCCTGTTCTCCTGTACGGAATGGAAGCATGGACGTTAAGGGCCAGTTCCATTAACGAACTTGAAGTGTTTGAAATGTGGTGCCTGCGTCGAATGCTCAGAATATCATGGACGGACAGGGTCAGAAATGAGGAAGTACTCAGAAGAGCGGGCTTACAGGATAGGAAACTTTTTAATTATGTAAAAAGTAAGAAGACTGCATACTTGGGGCACATTATACGAGGAGAACGATACACTTTTCAGCAACTGATACTCGAAGGGAAGATAGAGGGTAGGAGAGGTCTCGGACGTAAAAAATGTCATGGCTGCGCAATATTCGACAATGAACAGGAATCCACAGCTATGAAATGTTTCGCAATGCTGCTAAAAACAGAATTATTTAATCCAGAATATTTAACATCTCACCTGACAAGACGATGTACGGTGGACGCCTACGCAGAAATGCACGGCACCTTAAGAAGAAGAAGATGATTGTCATGAGATCAATACAATTTATCACTTTCATTGACCAGCCACTATGGAATTTCCATTAATAGAGCCTAATCTTTAAAACCTATAGCGTGAAATTTTAGTTTTGAGTTTTGGCAACAAATGTGAGGCTATTGAAATATGCTTAAAAACACTGAATTTAAACTTTCACATACATACAATCTAAAACATTTAAAATTGTTCTTTTTTAATTACTCTAGTTCTAGAAGGTACGTTTTTTAAGTACCTAACTTCTGCTACAAATTCCGCTCAAAACCGTCCTCTTGTAGGCATTTCTTGTGACGTGCGATCGTTTGTAATGTAAAACTTTAAATTCTGCTTTAGTCACATTTTAAATGCCTCATATTTGTTGCCAAAACTTAAAATCAAAATTTTATTAGCAATTATTAATTTTTTATTTTAACAGATTTACAGAAACTGACTTCATTTACGGCAAAATACAAAAGTTGTATAAGAAAGCTGGACTTTCGCCTTCAAACGCCTTCATTCACCTTTAAAACGCGTTTTAATTTCTCGACAAAATTCAGCTTGTTGGTACGATTTTTAGAGGTCAAATTTCTAACGACTGGACTAAATGATTATTATTTAAATCACATATTGATTAGTCTTTAAGTTTAATCCATCGCAATCTGAAAAAAGCTTAACATGACTATATTTCAGCCAGCTGTAATTGAAGAGGGAATAACTAGCACTTTATCCTACTACGAAAATAATGCAAATGTTGGAGCAGTTATAATAGATTTTGACTTCAATTTTAATTTTATAAAACTACAAAAAGCTTTTTGGTATTTAAATCAACCAAATACCGCCTTTATTATAACATTAGATGATCGCTTAGCACCAGTGGGTGACAAGGGACCTATCATCAGTAAGTAGAATAATATTACAAGATTTACATAAATTATTAATTTAATTGGAAGTTAATTGGTATAGTTATTATTAGACTTCGGCAAATATGCATATTGCATATTTTGCATATTGTGCATATTTTATGCAAATATTTCATATTTTGGCATATTTGTATAAAAGTTTGCATAAAGTGCATAAAAGTTCAGATTTTTGTACTGTATTTGAAAATTTTTAAACATACCAATTTATTTCAATTCTTGTATAAAATTTTGTAGTCATTTTAATCAAGAAATGATCTAAGTACGTAATCTCTACAGTACAAAACATTTACAATTTCAAAGAAGATCAATTTAAGTAGCCCTCAACATTCTTAGAAAGTCTCGGTCACTGAGGCATTCAGTTATTGGATAATCGCTAAGAGTTCGCTCATTTGCATTTTATGATCTAATCCCCAAATCTCTCTACAATTTATTGTATCTTAACAGCAGGTAAACGGCTAATAGTTTTGTTCCTAATTTAGGGATTTTACAAAATGTCCCAGTTTATTGAATTAGGTACCTAAACATTTCTAATTTGATGCCCAGATTTGTAAATTATTTTTGTTTTGATATTCAAAGCGTAAACACTCATTGTGAGTAACAAAAACGAAGATTGTGATTTTTTAATGCCTAAAACAACCAGTGCTACAACTTGGATTGAACCTTATAAAGAGCTGTCTATGGATATGGGAAAAATCTACTGTTCAGTCTGTGGCAAAATTGTAAGTATCTAATATTTTCTATTAAATATCTAATATTTCATACATACAGGGTGTTTCCAAATGACACTTACAACGTTTGACTGTAGATACTTCTCGAAAAATTGAACAAAACGATATAGTTAATGAGGGGTCAAACTTATTTACTTTTCGAGATACAGGGTGTTAAAAAAAAAATTAAATTCTTTTAGTTAATAACAACAATAACTTTAAAACCAATAAACGTATTTACTTGAAATTTAGTACTCGTAGGTTGTTTTTAAATGAAAAATAGCTTCCTTTAGTGAGAAAAAATTGTCCATGGTACAATACAATGGTGTGTATTTAGAAAAATTTTTCACCTTTACTTTTTTTTATGAAGTCAGCTATTCTAAAACACAATTATTTTTATTGTAATTGAATTAACAAAAAAAAACTTTTGTTGAATTTTAAAATAAGTTATATGATGTACTAATGGTTAGTAACAAAAACTAATTTGTGGATTAATACTGCATTTAAAACACTTAGCGAGTGTTTTTTTTTTCCAAACCAGTTATTTGATTAACCAAAAACACCTTGTATATTTTTATATTTTAAAGGTTGGGTTAAAATAAAGGTTTTTATTTTTATTTATAGATAGCATGTGAGAAGAAATTTCAGATAGACCAACATGTGAGAACTGCTTCACACATTGCAAAAAAAGGAAAAATAGGAGGAAAACATCAAACTTCAATGGCTAAATGTTTCCAATCTACTTCAAAAAAATTAGATGAGCAAGAAACTTTTAATGAAGACTTGTGTCGCGCATTAGTGTCTGCAAACATACCGCTTTCAAAATTAGCAAATGTAAATTTTAGTTCGTTTCTAAAAAAATAATGCAAACTTAATGTTCCAAGTGACCGGTCTCTAAGAAGAAATAATGTGAACGGGCTATACTCGTCGGTGTTAATTAATATTAAGGAAAAAATTGCAGATAATTATTTTTACATGTCTGTAGACGAAACCACTGATTCCTCAGGAAAGTATATTGCTCATTTATTGATTGGTGTTCTTAAAGAAGATACCTTACCAAAATCTCATCTTATTTCATGCCAGCAACTTGAGAAAAAAATGCTTTAACAATTTCGCGTTTTATACAAGAAACATTGGCAACTTTTTTTCTTCCGACAACTATTCCTTCTAATAAATTACTGCTTATTTTATCGGATGCTGCTCCTTATATGGTGAAAGCAGGACAAATTTTAAAAATATTTTTCCCAGATTTAATACATGTTACTTGTGTAGCGCATGGATTAAACAGAGTTGCAGAGGAAATACGAAAAAAGTTTCCTCTTGTAAATACCATGATATCCAGTGTCAAAAAAGTATTTCTTAAATCTCCTATAAGAATTCAACTTTATAAAGAAATGCTACCTAACATTCCTCTTCCACCACAACCTATTTTAACGCGATGGGGAACATGGTTAGAAGCTGCTAATTTTTATGCAGATTATTTTGTTAAAATAAAGAACATAATTGATTTGTTAACAGATGAAAGTTCCCAATCTCTTTTGGATTCTAAACAAACTTTTCAGAGTAACTTGCTTCAACAAGAACTTTCATATATAAAATCAAATTTTAGTTTTGTTTAAAAAACAATTACTCAGAATCACCAAAACTGTCATTGTTCGAAAGTACAGCATTAATAAAAGAATTTGCGTCATGTTGTCGGAACGTTAGAGGTAATATTGGAAAAGATATTTTAAAAAAATTTGAAGCTACTATGGAAAAAAATAAAGGTTACCATATTCTTTCTGAAATAGTCAGTGTTCTAGCTGGAAATATTTCGGAAACAATTAATTTAGAACCAAATGTTTTGGTTAGTTTGAAAAATGCTCCCGTTACATCAGTTGATGTTGAACGAAGTTTTTCCATATATAAATATATGTACATAGACAGAAGCCACAAGTTTTTGTTAGAAAATTTTGAACACCACTTGGTCATTTATTGTTACCATAATTCTAAATACGTTTATTCATACTTAAAAATGATGTAGTTACTTAAAATAAATGTAAATCTTAATGAATAGTAGGAAATATTTAGTTATGTACACTTTTTTTTTTTAAATAAAATTGTTACTATTTTACGATTTTTTTATTTATTTGTATGCATATTTTGTAAAATATTTGCATATTTTCTGGTAAACACGTGCATATTTATGCGCATATTTTCTACATTTTTATTTGCATATTTTCCGAAGTCTAGTTATTATATTGTATTGGATCTTGTAACAAGTTGGAGCCTACTTATTATATTTTATGACTAGTGTCCATACAGGTTAACCCATCCTATACTTGACGGCCTCTGTACCGATTAAACTGGAAAACGATTAAATATTTAAAGTTTCCTTCTTCATAGGAATATACGGAACAGGAACAGGAATTTTTTATCATCTCTATCCTTACTCACCCCAATGAAGCTCCCAAACAGCACCGTGGTCTTCCTTAAGTATTGTTGAATGAGAAGCTTTTTATTATCTACTTTTGTCAGCTTTTTCGCAACAATTGGGGCCATGTATAAGTCCTCCTCCAATACCGGATTGGCGGACTTTTATTTAGCCCTTGTATATGCATGGCTCTTGTATCAAGGTGGCATGGAATCTTCTACAAGTAACAGTAGCTTTTGTCGAAGCTGTTCTAATATGCAAGATGTACGTCTGTAGTATTGTGATTTAATTCTCGTCTTTTCTGTCTTCTTCATCGAATGATATCTTATATTTTACAGATAACTCTTATTTGGTTATTTGTTATTCTGCAGTTCCCCAGAAATTTAAATCAAGGCTCAGTTTTTTTGTTTCTAATAGATCTGTTGGCGTTTTTGTCACTTACTTTTGTAGGTCTTACTATTTACCTATACGTACTTTCCAATCTAATTTTATATTCTTATTCCTCTAGATGCTATCCTTTAAACATACTAATATATGACTAGCTTTATTTGATTGTTTCCTTATACTAATACAGCATACAATAAGCCAATTATTGCTAATGATTTTATATATTTATTTTTCCTTTTAGCTCAGTATTTTGCAGCACAAGCTCTCAAAGAGGTCACTAACAAAGAACCTGTTTTAATGGGAAAACCATCAGATATCTGTATAAACTTTATCAAGGAGAACTTTAATATTAAGGACTGCAGTAGGACATTATTTGTTGGAGACTCGTAAGTACTTTACTCACACACTGTTCTGGCTTTCAAGTGGAATGTCTACATATGAGTGTCTATGATGATATAATAAAAAAGTATGAATTGAAGGGGTTAGAATACAAAGGGTACAAGAACCTTTGTCTTATAAAATGAGATATATGTACTCCTGAAAACTAGATACAATTACTTATTGGAATACATAGGATCCAAGTGCATTTTGTAACTCCTAACGCCACCTTTTGGGTACTAGAAAAAGTATGTGAATATAATTGTAGATATCGTTAGAATACAACGGATGTAAGTGCAATTGTACCCTTTGTATTCTTACTTAATCAGCCTTGGGTAACTTTAATATACCTTACTTTTAGTACAATACTTTGATTATTGTTTTTGTGTTCATTTGTTAATTAGTTAAAGCTATACTAAAACGTTTCAACTAATAGATAAATATTACTACTGACGAATCATAACAATGGAGAGCGACGAAGGTAAGGTTTTTGTTAATTTTAAACAATAGTATTACACTATTCACATTTATTTTTCCTAAATTTTGTGAAGTTATTTATTTGTGTTTCCAGATCCTTACAAAACCGATGAAGATGACTCGTACCACCCTCCTGGAAGCAGTACTGATAGTGAAAGTGGTTATAGGAATGAAGCCAACTCTATAACAAATGAGGCAATGTCATCTGTAAGTAGTCTATCTTCTAAAAAAACTAGAAAACGGCAAAGGCACGAATCCTCATGGAAAATTAAAAAACGTCAAAAAATTCGAACCCACGGGTAAGAGTATGTGTGCCGTAAAATGAAATTACACGAGGCCAAATCTTTACTCGCGTATCCACATCAATGTCGTTATAAATGTACAGAAAATATATCTCAAAATGAATGACAGCAATTATTTAATGCGTTTTATGAACTGACATCGTACGACCATCAGACATCATTCTTGTCGTCGTGTATAAAAAAGTAAATGTTGCAAAAAAAATGAACAGAAGCATAAGCAAGGGTTTTAGTACACAAATTTTTTTGTTGCAAAAACGAGTGTGCAAGCCATATTTTTTAAAAAAGTTTGACATTTCAAACAAAAGATTTACATTCGTACGCAAAAAAACCAGTGACCTTGGAATAGTTGAACCAGATAAAAGAGGTAAAGGACCGAGCAATAGAAAGATCAGTGAAAACGACACAAAATTGATTACTGATCACATCAACAAATTTCCGAGATACAGAAGTCACTATTCTAGGAAAGACAATGCCGCTTCAAGGTATTTGTCTTCAGAGTTAAACGTACAGTGTATGTATAATCTATACAAAGAGATCTGCCTTGAAGATAATAGGACCCCAGTCAAGTTATCTTATTACAGATATGTGTTAAATAATCATTTCAATTTACGATTTCACAGACCACATTCTGATACCTGTTCCAAATGTGATAAGTACCAAAATATTATTAAACACTCAACAGATCAAAGAAATGTCGCTGAAAACTAAGGTTTAACTATCTGTCCACCAACGTAAAGCTGAGCTACCCTGTGAAACAAAAAAAATAGATATAGATACCTACATAGCAGATATCTCAGTTGTATGTTTTGATCTGCAACAAACTTTACCCACTCAGCTGATCACAACATCTAAAGTGTTTTATTTAAGGCAGTTGTGGACATATAATTTTTGTGTTTACGATTTGTTGCACAACAAGGCTCATATGTTTACGTGGTCTGAAAATATTGCTTCGAGAGGGTCACAGGAAATAGAATCGTGTCTTCTGCAGTTCATCAAGTCGCTACCACCAACCGTAACAAAACTTATTGCCTACAGTGATTCCTGTGGAGGGCAAAATAAAAATAAATACATAAGCAAATTGTTCATGTTTCCACCATAAATTTTTAGAACCTGGACACACGTATATGGAATGTGATCATGCATTTGCTCTTATTGAACAAGCCAAAAGAAAAAATCCACAAGTATTTATCCCACAACATTGGACTTCCGGTATAAAATCATTTGCAAGAAGTTTTGTTGTGCATGAAATGACTCAACAAATGTTTTTTACATTCCAAAAATTAAATACTCTAATAAACGATCCAAAATTAGATGTGGAAAAAATACCTCTCTATTTTAGAGAGATAAACCACTTTAAATACTCTAAAGATGCTGCAATATTTTCATTTCAATTTAAACATACTCTTCAAGAGGACTTTCCGTTTTCTAAATGGGTATCCGTTTTACCAAGAGGTCGACTTTCCCTCAAATTAGAGAATATATTGTCCACAAATACCGACGATATAACGATTACCACAGCAAAGTGGAAGGATCTCCAAACATTACTAGACTATATACCACCTGTCTATCATCAGTTTTACAAGGATCTACCTCATAAGAAACAAAAAAAGAAAGAGACAAAAGTAAGAGAATCTACACTCGAAAGTCCAATAATGTGATAGCCTCAACTTCCAGGGTAGCGCATGAATCAAATTCTGACAACGATATGGATGATAGTGCCATAATTGACTCTGATTATGAGAATGTATAGTAAAATATGTGTTATTATGTGAATAAATTTATAATAGCCTATAGATATTTTGTTTCCACTTGTTACTAATGCTGAAATAAGGCTGGAATAAAACGGGTACAAGTAACTTTTTTGCATTTTTTATGGAAAAAAAAGCTTTACATTTTTAAACTACTAATGCTAGAATATATCATTTGTCTTATATTTACCTTCTTTATCGAAATTGTAAAGTTTTTTTTTAACTGCAGATTTTACTGTAGCAAATTAAGTTTATAGCCAGTTTACTCAATATATTGGAATTAGTACTTATACCCTTTGAATTCTAACCCCTTCAATTATGCTTAGTATTTAATACGTTAACAAAAATTTATGTTCCATGGTTTAAATCACACGGTTAGTCTAAACAGATTACAAAGGATAGTACGTTGAAACAATAAATCTGTACTCTGCCTTTTGTATTTAGTCCATATAAATAGGAGTATTAGTAAGTTATCATGAGTATAGAACATTAGAAGTATAATTCATCAAATACTTCAGAATCCAAAGAAATGTAGGTACTTATAAATAGATGAATAAAAAATTAAACAACAGAGCTTAGAAGATAATAAACAAGTTTTGGATATCAGAACACTAAATTCAGCTGGCAAGAAGTTGGTACTGACCATTCTCTGCTATTAGAAAACAGAATAAAACACAAAACAAATTACAACGAACAGTTGAAGAGAAAAATATTGACTAAAAACTCAGTTATTTTAAAATTACTGCGGAAGAAACATAGAAAAAATGAAATAAAAGGAGCGACACTACGTTCTTCTGAAAACTTACAGAAAAAGATTTAAAAAGAATGACGAGATTTAGAGAAACTATGAGCATCGCAATAAAAACGATTTTTAAGAATAGATTGAAAAAATATTAAAGCAATGCCATCAACGGAGGAAGACGTTGTTGAAGCAAATTGATCTCATTTGGGAAATACATACTAATGAGAAACATTAATAATGCGGCGTGTGAAGCTCTTGTCACGAGAATAGTTCATACATGGTTTGGTCCAGAAGTTGGGTATAAAACTGAATAAATTAATTTCTAAGTCAATTCATATTCTAAATCAAGAATAAGCAGAAATTGTAACTAATGTACCAATAAATAAAAAATTAATAAAAAAAAAATTATACAATTTATAAATTAAAAAGAAAAGGATCTTTATAAAATGAAAAATGTAAAGAAAAGAAACGGACTTCCTTATATACCGAGCCGCGAGAATTGCAGAATCGTACTATGTAGAATACTTTTTCTCTCAACGGAAATGTTAACACACACAATGTGAGGTATTGGAGTAACACAAATAAAACAAAACAAAAATAAATGTTATGACAGATATTTTGCTAACCACATAGTTGGGTCTGTTTTCCCAATACTAATTTAACCAGTGAAGTGTATCTGGAAATGTTACAAAATGTAATTCAACCGTCAATGCTTGAAATTCTGGAGGACGATCCAAATGAATTCGGCAACTTGGAAATAACGTATCAACAAGATGGTGCTCCTGCACACCATTATGGTGCAGTAAACGAGGATATAGATGAGGAATACCGTAGTAGATGGATTGGACGAAGAGGTACGATAGAATGGCCAGCTCGGTCACCAGACCTCACACAATTAGATTTTTTTTCTGTGAGGATACTTGAAATCTAAAGTTTACGCTACAGCACCCGACAATATTAATATTTTGAAACAACGAATTGTTGAAGAATGTAGGGCAATTTTCTCCGACACATTTGAACGAGTACGGCAAGAGTTTAGAAATAGGATGCATTATTGTCAGGAAGTAGATGGGGCACTTTTTGAAAACTTGCGATAAGAACTGGTTGTTAAATATCTATTAATTAAATGAGAACCTACAATTTTAGTATTTATTTAATTTATTAATCAAAATGAGCTTAAACTTAAACAAAATTATTATAACTAAATAGGTATTTTTAATACCATTTAAACGAGGTATCACTTGCCATAAGGTCCCATTTAAAATTATCTGTCACAGTGGCGCTGTAACGTCATCTGTCACTATTACGTCACCTGTTATGACTAGTTGAGAAGCCTACCAAGAAGTTACGAGAGGTGGGGACTTATGACTAGCACTGTAGTAACATTTATCTCTTGTTTTTCGAAGTTTGTAATAATTATGTTAATACTGCTTCATATTTTTTATTATTTTTAGTATTACATCAGATATGAGCACAGGAGCTAACGCTGGCTTCCAAAATCTTCTAGTGCTAAGTGGTATTTCAACAATAGAAGATATCAAAGATTGGAAATATCCTGAAGAATATAAACCTGAGTACTATATTAATAGTCTAAATGATCTCAATAATATTATTAAAGTAAATTTCTCTCTAACATAATTGTAATATAATTGATTATGCATTTATATAAATGAGTTTACTATCTTAGAGAAGGTCGCAGTGAGGTTATTGATGAGAATATATTAAACGTGTGATCAATGACCCCAAATATTTCACTTTAAATCAAAATATTATTTCTTTATTAGTATATTTACTATTATTGGCATAATGGAAAAATTCAAATATTTATGAAACTCAGAATATATTCATAAAGTACAAAATAAAATATATGCAAGAGAAGAAATGTGTATTTTATTTCTGATACTCCTTATAGCCTAGCGAAATGAGCAAACTAAGTATTTTTTACAGTCACTGTTAATTTATTAATATTTCGAATGTGTGGTAATCATGGACGTATAAACACAGATGGACTCAGTTATTTACATAAAATTGTGAAGTCAAAATTATTTGCATAGGTCACATTCTCAGCACCTTCAACCGTTGTCACGTTTTGTTTAAAATTTCTTATTCGCGAGTCGCTGAAAATATTAGGTACTCCGTATTTTATACTCTACAGGTGCTATCAAACCAAAATAATAATTTATTGGTTAGATTAATATATTTAATTGTAATCAAAATATAAAGTGTGCCCATAGTGTGCATTATCACTTAATAATAGCGTTTAATAGATATCAATCAATTATTTTATATGCAGAAGCACTGAAAACTATTTATAAATGGCAACGGTTGTTTACATTTCTCTGTCTTATGGATCTACGTCAAACTTCAAATGCTGTTCCATGTTTGTTTACTTTTTAGTAAAAGTTGTTTTTCGATATTTTGGCTGTATTTTGAGTGATATTTGTGAAAAGTGAAATAAAATAAACGAAATATTTACATCCCGATCTCTCATTTCATTTGTAAGTACATACAATTTACATTATTTAAGATGAGGAAATGAGGAAGCGTGTTTGTTTACATTTTAATAGGCGTACCATTGGGTTTATTCATGTTCATTAATGTATTGAATAAGATAAAGTTCATGAAATTAGTAAACATTTTTAAATTGTAAGTAGACATCATCTGATTAAAAAAGATCTGTTTAGTACCTTTTTAAAACGTGTTTTTATACATTATTACGACTTCCAATTTTTAAAATTTGAATAATTACCCGCGAGTAAAAATTCAAGCACGCTTATGCTCATTGCGGAAGCATCACATTCTATGGAAGCTTCAAAACATTGTGTGTTAAAGGTATCTTATTGCTGTGTCCATCTATGTTTATACGTCCATGGTGGTAATAAACTCTACAATAAGCTTTTTATTAGTTGTTATTTTAATATACAATAGACAAACCCCTGTTAATAATACAATGACATAGATAGATAGATAAATAGATAGTGTATTTGACTATAAGTTACATTGTGTATTTGACATTAAAGATATTTCAAACAATATAGACAGCAATATTGAACAACTTTGTAGAGAATTTATGCCTCTTTCTAGTTTACTTATTTAACACTTGGTATAATTGGATATATTTCCCAAAAACTGGTTTTCAAAGTTTTCGTAATAGGTTACGCCCCCTAGCGGTTAACCTAGAAACTTAAAAGGTATTTCCAGCGATTTCTCTTGGTTACTTTTACTAAGGAATTTTTTCTCCCAAAGTTATAACATAAATAGTTTTTGATATATAGCCGAGAGATCGGCTTATTGGACCAGCCGGTACATTGATAGGCCGTATGCTGACATAAATGACAAAAAGAGTAGACGGAAGTACAACTTTATTGTTACAAAAAAATGCAAAATAATGCTTTCACTTGCTTAAAATAAAATAAAATGCTTTTATTGTTCAATTTGACCTCAGAAGACAAGTCGATATAAAAAATATAAAGCTACAAAAATGTTTAAACAGATTGTAAAAGAACTAATCATTACATTAGTCTTACTACAATTATTATATAAGTATTATTATAAACTTAAATTGATTTATTGTTGTTGAAGGTAAAAATATTTATGAACTAAATTTAAATGAAATTCTGGTAAATCTTGTGTGGGTTGGCATAAATCGTTGTCTTCAGGTGAATATTTTCAAATATCCAATGTCTCGTTCTAAAACTCATGTAAAATAGCTTAATTCTTCAATATTACCTACTACTACTACTACTACTATTCCATAAAGAACTGAAGTAATGTCCGACATAAAACAGAGTGTTTGTATTTTTCCAACAACTTTCATAATTTCTGTAAAATAAAATCATTAATTTAGGAGTCCTTTTGGTTTGAAAAAAAAGCTACTGTAAATCTTCCAGACACTTATTTAAATGCACATTTTCCCCATATTGCATAGGCGTAGAAAATTTACCATGTATATTTTTTTATATGTTTATTTAAGTTAGACTGATTTAATAAAATTTTACCACATTCAAAACAGTTCACTGACATAATTACTAATTAACATTTTCATTTGAAGGTTCGAAATATTTCAAACGCAATCGTATCGCACATGCGCAATTGACGGACCGGGTCCCTGTAATTAATCGCTCCTGCTCATTCTACCATGAACGCATCAATAAATATTATGCATCTATATTCGTTGATTGAACGTTTGCCAAGGCCTTACTCTTACGTCATATTTAATAATTATTTTATGCATTTATCGAGTAGATTGCAAATTGCAATATGCACATTAAAAAAATAATATCAATACCAAACAGTTTTAAAAATTAACCAATAATTTGCTTAATTATAATCAATGCGATAATATCGACAAATGTGACGTGTTAGTAAATATATATCTATTGACGATAACGCAGTATTCAAACAATGCTTTTGGATAAAAAGGTTATCTTATCACTCTTAATAACATAAAAGTATAGTGCAAAGACAAACAAAAAATTGCATAAGCTATTTTAAAATAAAGTCAAATGAATACCTAAGTACATACGTAAAAGTTTTGACAAAATATCAAAATGAGTGTCCTAAAGAACCTTACAGAAGTTTCCAAAAAGAAACAAGTAGATTACATTAATTCTTTTGATGAAGTACTTTTGGATATCGACGGTAAGTCTATCTAATACTTAAAATTCTAACTACATCATATTTAAACTAAAAGAACACTAAAATAGATATTCGTTTAACTTCATCTTTAGAAAGAACTCTGCGAATTAACGTATTTTTAATGACTTAAAAATTAAATTATTAACTTACCCTTTTTTGCCCAAATTAAGATTTTTCAAAAAAAAAAAACAAATTTTTTTTACATGCATCGATTAAAGATAGCTTAGGCATAATTTATTTATTTTTTTAAATTTTTTGCTACATACTTTTTTCCCAGAGATGGGACTTACAAGTCCCGTCAGAAATTAGGATAGATATTTTGTCAGGAGATAACTATTTCTGTTGCTAAAAATAAAAGCTTTTATTATTCTTTATAAATAATTACTCTTAGACAGAACTTATAACGAGGTAGGAAGGCTGTGGTACATCGCAAAACAGTTTTTATTTGAATTACAACACAAATAGGCACCACAAAATGGACACTTTGATTGAGGTCTAGACCCTAAGTGCCTAAGGTATAGACATTCAAACAAGAAACTATTAATTTTTAATTTACATTGTAATTATCCATCAAATTTGAAAAAGAAATAAATGACTGCGTTCTGCTGGTTGATGAAGATGGAACAATTTCAAGTTCAGGTGCTACTGTGGTTTATGTAGATGGAACAACTTCAATTTCATGTGGTACTGGGGTTGATGTAGATAGAACAGCTTATGTTGACTTGAGGAATTAGAGAAACACTGTGTATAACGTTTAATGTGATTAAGAGCCTTGAGAAACAGTTCTTTAGTCATACATCCAGGATTTGCTGAATTAGCCAAATCCAGGCTTCCCAAGGGAGCTCCATTCCACATTGTATCATGAAAACGGGCTCTTGAAAATATGTACATCTGAGGCATAGCATTTCCTAATGCAATGTCCCACACATAGTGATCAGGGTGCCTCTCTCTGCTGAAATTATCGCTAAACTTGTTTGATTCCCTTTTGCGTTACAATGTTTGGAGCTTGCAGGACAGTGCTGATACCAGTTTCGTCTAAGTTATAGATCCTGTCAGGTGTTAAATCGTGGGTTGAAAAAGCCCGCTCATAATTGTCAAAAAATGTCCCAACATTTTTTTGTAAAAATGGTAGGTCGTCTAAGGCTGGTGTTTTCGGGTTTCCTCAATGCCAAATTTTGGTGCCTCTTTTTAAAACACTGCAGCTCGTCTATACCAGAAATTTTATTGGCATCCCAGTTACTCGTGCATATAGGTTTGTTCAGTCTTTTTGCATAATCATAAGCCAAAATTATGATTTGGGTGTATGTTAAAGCGTAATTTATTTTTGAAGATTTTAATATATAACTACCTAATAGGTCTTCTTCAGTTTTGTTAAAAACTTGACCAGTAGAATACAAACTTAAATAATTCGACAGATCATTATAAACTACACCATTTTGTTCTGCCCTTTTTCGTTCCTGTTTTCTTTTTATTCTATAACACAGTATCGTATGTTGAATTTCATAAGTTGTAGGAGCCATGCGGAGTTTCATGCCACTCTCCACTGCTTGTAAGGCATTTTAAATCCAATTGTAACATTAATTTTAATTCTTCCTAATGGAACTTGCAGTAATGTTCAAACGTATAGCCCAAAATGCATACTGATATCATTTGAGAAAGTTTTCACAGTTTTTAGTATCTGATCTAGGTGGTTTCAAGTGGAAGCTATTAATTTCAAATCATCCATGTACAACAGAAAAATTGGAGAGGAATAACCTTGCTTACCGCCATAAATAAAATCTTCACGACCATCATACTTAAAAGATTAACAAACAAGGTTGAATTTCGAGATAATCAAGTAGGCTTTAGACCAGAATCCTCCTGCATAGACCACATTAATACTGTGAGGGTAATAATGGAACAATCGGTTGAATGGAACACACCCTATACATGGTTTTTGTTGATTTCGAGCGTGCTTTTGACAGCTTATCTCATGATGCGATATGGAAAATTATAGAGTTAAGAAACATCCCGCATAAAATAATTTCCATTATAAAGTTACTGTACACTGAAGCGAAATGCAGCGTGACACACAATGGGATCAACAGTGACGAATTTGACGTACTTACTGGAGTCAGACAGGGATGCGTGCTTTCTCCGTTTCTTTTTAACATAGCTCTAGACTATGTTCTCTCCAAACTAGATTATGACACAAGAGGGATACAATGGACGTTAACCACACGCCTAAGCGATCTAGAATACGCCGACGATATCTGCCTGTTAGGACAAAGGTTCCAAGATGTGGCTGACCAATTGGAAACACTTTCCACTGAAGCCAATAAAATAGGTTTGAAAATCAATATTGGTAAAACCAAATCCATGAGAATAAATGCAAGAAACAACACGCTATTCACCATTAATAACATGCAGATTGAAAATGTGGAAAACTTTACGTATCTTGGAAGTGTCATAACAGAAAGCGGAGGTACAGAAGACGATATTCGTATGAGGATACGAAAAGCGCAACAAGCTTTCAGCATGCTCAACCCTGTTTGGAGGTCTGGAGAATACACTACGAGGACAAAGATCCGCATATTCCAGTCAAATGTCATGTCTGTACTACTTTACGGATGTGAAACCTGGAATGCGACAAAAACCCTTACAGACAAACTGCAGGTCTTTGTTAACAAATGTCTACGAAGAATTGTTCGTATTTTCTGGCCTAACATCATCAGAAACGAAGATTTACTACACCTGACCAAACAAAAGAGCCAAACAAAAGAACACAAATTGTTCTTCTCGACCCACGGAGCCCTTAGCGCATCCTTTCGGTTGAGGCTCTATGATATTGTTCAGAGCACAGTGTTGGTAGATACGCCTGGCTACACAGGATGTGACCAATTTGTACAGAGTTGGAAGACAAGTAATTGGGCGGTACTTGGCTGGATCTTGGGTGTTATTTTGATCCTTTGGTATTAGATAAGTGGTTTCCTGTGTAAGAAATGACGGTGTTTCCTGCGGATTAGAGATAACATGATTAATCAATACTGAGAAACACTCATGAACACTCCAAAACTTCTTTAACCAGAAGTTTTGAACTCCGTCTGATTCAGAAGATTTCCAGTTATGAAGCTCTTTGATAGTATTTGAGACTTCTTGGGTGGTGAAGGGTTCGTAAGGAATATTATTGTAATGTTGGCAGTTGTTTAATACTTAAAAAGTATATTGTCGCATTTTCGGTTGTTACTTACTTTATATCTTCTTAGACGACCTGAATAAACGAAAGGTGTTTGTTTTAATGTGTCCAAGCATTGTTGCAGTGTGTTATTTTATGGATCATGGTCCAGGTCTTAGAGTGTTCTGCAATATCTCTTCAACTCTCTGAATGATTTTTCTACTTCTTATTTCTCCGATGTATTCCGTTATTTGTCCAATGTCCCTACGCAAAGATTCAATTTTCCCTAGTAGCCGTTTCTTCCAAGGTGCAATTCTGCTATCATTCCTTTCGATATTAGTACCCCGTCTTGCTCTGATCTTAATGCCCATAACCTTAGCAATTGCTGTTGCTGCACATTAAATCAGCATATGCAAATATTTCAATGTATGGGCTTTCACGATGTAATTGGGTAGGACCTCAGTGTTCATAATTTGTAACAGCGCACCTAGTTTCTTACAAGAGTTCATTTTTGGTAGCGGTGGTCTGCTAAGGGTGTTCGTCCCATTAAACTCTTGTACGGCACGTGCCACTTCACTTACCAGATTATTATGCAACTCGTTATGGTCCTGCTGCGTATTAACAGGTTGCGTTTCTTGTATGAGAGGCTCAGGAGTCTGCTCTGCTCATTACGGATTTCATTAGGGATTTGATCTACAACTAGCTCTGGGTTATGAATCTCCCGTTCGACTTCGCTTCTGGTGATGAAGTGTCTAGCCTCTGGGATAATATTGTTTTTTAAAATTACCCGGTATTGGTCTGCTACTCTTTGTTAAGATACTTGGATTTCTGAATACTACCTGCAAAATTCGGCATACAGATTTTGTCGATAGCCGATCGTTTCTTGACCGAGGTTTGTCACCTTATAATAAAAGCGCAAAATATTTTCTTTCATGGACACAGTCCATCTCATGCACTGTCTCGATCGTCCCGCTTGAGTCCCGCGCCGGCTGATGTTCCAGCGCAGCACCTTCAGCGAGTGGAACTCTTGTTGTTATTTTGCTCATTTGTGGTTCTTCTTGTTGTTGGGCTGTAGCTGATTGTATGACAGGGGCCCGTCTCCTCAACACCCTGCCACCGACGTCCCGCATGCTGTTACGTCTAGCGCCGGCTTCAGACGTGCCCTGGCGATATCCAGGCAGCGACCCTAAACATAAATTATTAAACTCCACTTGCATGGATGTGCATTTTATACCTACTGCCAGATATCAGTTTTTGTTTCACGGCAGGTATCCCTGTTATCCTTTGGGTATCGGTTTTAAGAATACCCAGAGACTGTCAAAAAGTCCCACAGGTCTCAACAGTCCAAATTATTGTTGAGATAATATTAGACAAATAATATAATAATTTTAGGATATATTAAAGAAAAAAGTAAAATAGGGTATTTTCCTAAATAGAAGTTAGAGATTATCTAAAAACACAAGAATATTACAATATGTTTTTAAAATTTTATTATAGGAGTAATATGGCTCGATAATACTCCAATCCAAGGCGCAGCTGACTGCATAAATAATCTTAAGAAACTAGGAAAGAAAATTAGATATGTCACGAACAATACAATAAGGTCTACACCGACCATTGCAAAGATTCTGACTGAGAGAAACTTCATTACAAATGCGGAAGATATTGTAACTCCCAAAGAAACTACCATTGCCTACTTAGACCAGTTAAATATTAAAGACAAAGATATATTTATAATAGGAACACAAAATATGAAAGAGACGCTTCTAAACGTTGGATATAAACTTCTCCCTGATCCAGTAAGTACCTAAAAATGGATTAACTATTAATATGTATTGTAATTATTTAATATAGAATTTTTCATTTGAAATGATTGCACGTCATTCAAGATTTACGACGTCAGAACCCCGCAGCGTTGCCAAAACATCAGAATAGTGAGGTATAGGAATAGTAGTAATAAGTGAGGAATTTTTAAAATGTCAACTATTTGTCAAACTATTTTATTACCACTAAATACACTTAGTTTTAAGACTACTGCAACATACTAAAATACAGAAGAAAACATTTCAATACAAAATTATATATTCTAAATTTTAAAGTTACTTCTTTTAGGGCATTAATAGTAAAAACCTCCCGCCATTATTTCTTGTTCAAAATAATGTATCTTATACGAAAGCTAACCAGCTTTTTACAGACTATTTAGTAGTTTTGGCATAGCACAATCACAATGTATATATATATATATATATATATATATATATATATATATATATATATATATATATATATATATATACTTTATGAGATTGTCATAAGACCAATATAACCTATCACTTTCATTGACCGGCCACTTCGTACTCCCGGCGATAGTTCCCGAGTACTTTAAAATGCCCTCTCGTCGTCGAGTCTACGCCGAACGCCTACCTGCTAAACTAGACCCTCCTCTGTCATCCAGCGATCGGGAAATCGGAATGGGCGCTGTAAGGCCGGCATCACTTCCCAAGCATTAACCTTTATTCATTCATTCTCCATTTATACAAATCCACATTCCTAGTTCGGCATCATTCCCAGAAGGGCATTTTCTCCTTCACTACAGTCTAACTCACGCATTCTAACTCAAAAAGTGTGACCCACTGTTCTAACTTCACCGTTCAGCATCATTCACTCTACCTTTGCCGTTGGTCCAGCTGTCTTTCTTCCTCTTCCTTTTCTTGATCACCGCATGGATATAACTATGTATGTTAATCCAACCTAATTTATTTTCAATCATTCTCTCAAACATTTCTCTCACTAACAAAATTCACACCTGTCTCTCTCTCTCTCCATTCTGTTCCTTTCCACTATCCATCTGCTGCAATCTAACATCGTATGTATCACAGTGTCCGAGTATCCACAATATAGGCATTCATCTGTATCAGCCTTTCCGATCCTATAAAGGTAGGCCCTAAAACACCCGTGTCCCGTGAGCACCTGCGTCAGGAAATAATCCAGTCGCCTGTGGCCACAGTCCACCCAAGCTCTTATGTTCGTGATCAACATTTTCGTCCACTGTGCCACATCCTCCGTATTGTTCCATTCTTCTTGCCATCATACAACTGACCTTTCCCTTACCGGTCTTCTCTCAGCCACAGTAAGGTTTGGGCCTCTTCTCTCATAAAGCTCTTTTCTTTCCACCGCCAAAACATGCAACGGAATACATCCAGTGATGGTCCATAAGGCTACCGCAGACACAGTCCTGTAGGCGCATGCCACTCGCAACAGACTTGTTCTGTCTACTCGTTTCATAAGACTTCTATAGGCCGTTATCTCTACCGCCTCGCTCCAGACTGGTGCCGCGTAGAGGACGATAGACTGTACAACACCGTGTAAGATCCTCCTCCTTTCGGATTTGGGTCCTCTAATGTTCGGCATCACTCTCCCCAACGCAGCCGCACTATTCGCAGCCTTTCAGACCATCTCCCGAACGTGCTCCCCCCATTTTCCATTCTAGTGCAATGTCACTCCTAGATACTTGACTTGTTTCTTGGATGTTAGACATACTCCCACACATTTTAATTCAACACCTTGCCTGTTCCTTGTACCCTTCAAAATGATGGCTTCGGTTTTCTCTGTCGCAAGTTTTAGTTTGTGCTGCGTCATCCATTTCCATCACGTCCACGATCGTGCCCTTTTCCACCATAATCCTTCTCTCGGACAGATACTCTGCCACAACATTCATCAGGTAACCAGGACATTCTCTCTCCTCCATTGCCTTCATTACCTCGTTCCACTGCAGCGTATTGAATGCATTCTTAACATTAAACAACAGCAGGGCCGCCCAGCGATGTTCATTTCCTCTGTTGCGCAATGCTTCGAGTACACTCATGATTGCATCAATCGTGCTTTTATAAAAGCCAAATATAAGGCCTTTATAAAAACCAAATTGCCTCCGAGATGAACCACCTGACCTCTCAATCATGTCGTCTATGCGTACTCGCAGCATCCTTTCATATAGTTTACTGATGCATGGAAGAAGACAGATGGGGCGATACTTTTCCCTAGATTTGGGAAGCAGTATTAACCTCGATGTCCTCCAAGGCTCAGGAAAGGTTTGTGCTTCCAGCAATGCATTCATGTGTTCCAGAACCCACGCAGGCTCCACCCGTCCTAGACCCTTTACCGCCTCAGGTGGTATCTGATCCAGTCCGAGGGATCTACGAGTCTTGAGTAAACCCAATGCCTCGACAAGTTCATCCATGGTAAAGGGTACAGCCCGCCCAGCTCCTTCATCCCTCCATACACCATGACAACTGCCGTCCGGAAAGAGCTCACTTGTTACCTCAAGCTTCTTGTCCATAGGCATTTCGTAAGGAGGATACGCATGGAACTTCTTCATAACGATCTTGTATCCCTGACCCCAGATGTCCTCATCCAGTTTTTCACACAGCTCTTTCCAGTGCCTTCTTTTTTCTGTACGAATTTTTCTGTACAGTTCCCTCTTCCTTGCGCGGTACTCTTCCTCGATCTCCTCGATGACCTCAGGATTGATTCCTGCTTTGCCTCTTGCTCTTGTTAACCTTCTTCTCATTGCTATACATACATTTCTTAGTGCCTCGATGTCCACATTCCACCAATATGGCATCCTGTTGACATCTTGACGACCAATCTTGCTTCCTTCCATCGCTTCTTTAATGACTCTCTCCAGGCTTTCCACCGTCGGTGATTGACCCTCCTTAGATTACTAGATTACTAGAGCCTAATCTTTAAAATTTATAGCATACAATTTTAGTTTTGAGTTTTGGCGACACATGTGAGGCATTTGAAATATGCTTAAAAAATGCTCACATTATAAACGATATAAAACATTTAAAACTGTTTTTTTTTAATTTCAATAGTGCGATTTTCAGATGTACCTAAGTTTTGCTACAAATTCCACCTAAAACCGTCTTTGTGGAGGTAGTATTTCTTGTGTTATGCGATCGTTTGTAATGTAAAGGTTTAAATTCTTCGTTTTTTAGTCATATATCAAAAGCCTTATACAGTGTGTTAAGTTTAAAATTAGACATATACACTATAAATGGCAACACTGCTCGCCGTCGAATTTTAGAAATATTTTTTTTCTACGGCGTACAAATTTTGGTAAAACGATTTTTTTTGCGTTTTTGTCCCCCTACAAGTATGGTTTAGGGAGAAATTCAGGGGTAAAAGCAGTAATCTCTTTTGCATCCTTTTGGAATCAAAAAATTAATATTCTCGGCAAAATTTAGTTTGTTCGTACGATTTTTAAAGGTGAAATCACTGACGACTAGACTAAATGATTATTATTTAAATCACATATTGATTAGTCTTTAAGTTCAATCAACGCAAATCGAAAAAAGCTTAACATGCCTTTATTTCAGCCAGCTGTAATTGAAGAGGGAATAACTAGTACTTTATCCTACTACGAAAATAACGCAAATGTTGGAGCAGTTATAATAGATTTTGACTTTAATTTTAATTTTATAAAACTACAAAAAGCTTTTTGGTATTTAAATCAACCAAATACCGCCTTTATTGTCACATTAAATGATCGCTTAATACCAGTGGGTGACAAGGGACCTCTCATTAGTAAGTAGAATAATATAATGACAATATTTATATAAACTAATAATTTAATTGGTATAGTTATTATATTTTATTGGATCTTGTAACAAGTTGGAGCCTAGTTATTATATCTTATGACTAGTGTCCGTACAGGGTGGACCATCCTTATATGTGTCAATTAAATATTTAGTTTTTTTCTTTATACGAATATACAGAACAGTTAATAACACAATTTAAACACAAGTTGTACTTTTTCTTAGGAAATACCCTATATTTGATATTTGTCATGTTTTAATTTTTTCTTAAAAAATAAGATATTGTAACAAACCAATCTCTCACGCTGCGCCTCGGAAGGAGCCGTAATATTATTTTCAGAGCACAACATTTATCCTCCGTTAAGATGGGAAACATGCCCGTACTCCCAGAATTCAATTTTTTCATTTTTTATGTTCTATACAATTAAACAAAACTCAGTGCAATTTTAAGTCTTTACTTCTTTCCCTTACGCGCTACCATCAAAAACGTTATTTTTTGTTTTTATTAATATTTTTTTAATTAAAAAAATTCACACGCATAGTTAAAGCTTACAAAACCTTGTATTTATTTACGTGTATTTTTTATAGACCGATAGGTTGAGCGTACATAACCTAAAAATGCATTTTTATTTTTGAAAAAAGCGTATTGGTTTAGTTTGGAGATGGTTGCAGGTTTGTTTTTTATTTTTTGTGTTTAATCAAAATTTAAAGAACTGATTTTTTCAAATTTTTCCATCAAGTGCGTCATCTTCAAAAATATAAATACCTGTTTTTTTAATTATTTTTTTGGGATTTTGTCAAGTTTATAGACTTCAAAATACTTTAATCAAATCAAGGTTTTTATAGGCTATATATAATTTGAATTAACTGGATTTCTTAGTGGGGCAGTCAAAAATTTTGCGAAACGTCTCTAAACCTCGCGTTTTTCAGAATTTTTAAGGACGGTTTTTGTGGGATAATCATATTTTTTAAACTGAATACAACCACAATCAGTTTTTTTATTTTTTAGGTTTTATGTGAATAAAACATCGATAAGAATCAACGCACCACCCCTTCCCCTTCCGCCAAAAAGATTCCCAGTCACTTTTTGGTTTTTATTTTTTTTTCCGGTGGGTTGGAATCAATTTATAAATTTCAAAAAAATTACACGTATAGCTGAGGTTTTTACAAAACTTAGTAAGTTGAGTGAAAATAAGCCAAAAATTAATCAATATAAAAGTATATAAATTTTTTTTTGAAGATAGCGGCAGGTGTAATTTTGTTTCTATTTTCTGTATTTATTAAAACACTGTATTTTTAATTTTTTTTAGATTTTTTTAGGTACGCCAATTCAAAAACACAGAAAGCTGCTTTTAAGGGATTTTTTAGTGTTTTTTTGGAAATCAAGGATTTTATATACATCATATATAATTTAAAGCATATACGTCCTTTAGGGAATTCCAAAAATGGGAAAAACACCTTTAAAGCCTTAAAAAATAATGTTTTTTCAGGGTTTTTAAAGACTTTTGGAGGTTTTCCAGGGCTAATAAAATTTTTTGAGATAGATATAACCTGAATCAGTGCCTATTTAATTCATAATTAAAAAATATATAAAAATTTTGGGTTATTTCGAGATTTTTACTAAATTTACCACAAGTTTTTTTATTTAAACATAACATGGGTCGGGATTTTACAATCCAGTAAACTCCCCAAAAACACTTAAACTCCGAGTTTATCGTATGTTTTAAGAAATTTCTCGCTTCTCTAAATATGAGAAATACATTATTTTGTGTTACTTTATAAAATTTATGAAAATATGCTGCTTAATTATGTATTATTATTCTGAAAAATGTCTTTGGCAGAGCCAAGTAGGCAGAATATTTTTTGTTTTGTTTTTAAAGTCGACTGAATTTTAATTATTATTGAAGGCAGATTCATAGTCAAAATTTTCTTATTATGAGAATGTTCTTAAGAAAGAAAAGTAAAATAGTTGGGTAAATTCAGTAAAACCCCCCGAATAACGCTTAAAAACTGGTTTTTCACATGAACGATATTTGCTTCTTTGAGGTTTGAAAATATTATTTTTTATATATTTTTTAAATATGAATTGGAATTGAATTGAATCAGGTTATATCTATTTCAAATAATGTGATTAATCTCTCCAAAAACCTTTAAAAAGCTTGAAAAAATATGGTTTTTTGCGGGTTTAGAGTGGTTTCGTTTCATCAAATTATATATTATCCATAAAAAAACCTTGATTTGATTTAACTTGCATAGTAGCGCACCTAGAATTTTCAGAATTTTTCTCTGGGGGAAGGGGCTTGATTGGGCACCGAAAATTTTTTATGCTATTTTTTATGTTACCTCCATTTTGAGATATTGTTCTGAAGTTGTATTGATTTGAAGCTATTTTCTTGTGGCATTGGCATTGTGGATTATTCCCAGTTAAATAGTAATTAATTTACTCCTTTTGAGGTTTTGAGGCATTAAAATTTGTAAGTCGGAATAGTGGCCGGAGGCGGAAGGTGGGTTTAACCCCGAAAAAAACCCCGTGAGTGCACCACTGAATAACAATGAGGAAAAACACTCAACAAGCAGTTTTCCGGCTTTTTGAAGGTGGCATACATTACGGAAAAATTTGTAAAAAAATCAGAAATATATTTTTTCTTCAAACGTCAAATAATGATGACATTACTTATCTAACTTGATCCTGTCAAAGTTTGATGTCTCCGCCGGCAGCAGTTTTTTCCCCTTTCTTTACGGCGGAGGGAAAAATGTTGTCATGGCAACAATATGAAACATGTCACAAAGCAACAATACAAATGTCATTAACAACAATTAAACATCCTTTTTATTTATAGTAATATAAAAAGTACAAATAGTATGATCGCTGATCAAATGTATTCCCATGACAATTCGGTAAAAGATCTAATTTGTCGTGTTTTATTGTCTATGATTTTGATAAATATTACATTTTCTTTATCCTCAATGTCCACAATCTTCATTTTTACCATTTCGTCGCATCGACAGGCGCCGGTAACCCCAATTAACAAAACAATCTGAAATATTTTTATAATTTAGTAAAGTATACTACATGCTTTGCAATATAATTTTTTTTACCTTTAATCCTAAATACAACTTATCTGGCGCTTTAAACAAAAATTTATCAAACTCGTCTTTAGTGAAAACTTTAGACTTCTTTGCAGTATATCCTTCGCTGGTTTTTTTCAGAAAGGCACGTAACTTTAAAAATTTGCTTATATCCACATTTTTTCTAATAACTAACTCAGATTTTATCATAGAGTATCGTGACCACATTGTAGAAGATTTCCATTTATTTTTATTTTCCATTATATTAAAATATGCCAGTAAAACGTCTTCGGTAACTTGCCGTACTCCTCTTGTATCGCACCACTCTTGGAAGTGCTTGTACGCTAACCGATATTTTATTCCGGACTTGGAGGGCCCCAAACGTGCTACTGCATCATTAGCCGCGGACTCAATTTCGTTTAGGTTTTCCAGTTTCGCACTAAATTTGCGCTTGCGGTTGCAACAACAATAAGCTGTCTTTAATAATTGCAAATAACTGTCAAACAACTGTAACCAGGGAGACGCAAATCCCACCGACGACTTAATTATTTTAATTTCTAACATCTAGACGACTTTTATAGTTGTCACAGTTAATTTCGAGTAAAAATAGCGTATGATTTGTACTATTTATGGTTGAAAATTGCTACGTTTGAAGAAAAAATAGTATACTTTATTCAGCAAAGAAGCGACTTTTCTTGACTTGCCCTCTATTACGCGTAATATCGGGCGCGTCAAGAAAAGTCATGCTTCTCCGCCTCATAAAGTAATATACATACTATTTTGTAAATAAAGTTTTTTAAAAGCCTCAAATATACGTGTAGTTTACGACAAAACAATGGCAATTGAATTAGAATTAGATTGAGATCCAATATTCATTTAATTATTATTTTTTATGTTGAAATATTAGAGTTTTAATTAAATTAATTTGCCTATGAGTTTATTTCATTTATTTAAATACTGCAATCTGCTTTAATTATAAGATTATTAACAACAATATCTAATGTTTATTTTTTTGAGTACTTAATAAATTCGTGTTTGCTTAAATTTAAAAGTTAATTAAACATAATTTATTTAAGTATAGTCGCGTATTATTTTATTTTTGTAGGGACGATATAAATATTTTAAAGTATCGAACCTTTTTTACAAGCTTTTTATTATCAACTTTTGTCAGCTTTTTCGCAATAATTGGGGCCATGTATGAGTCCTTCGCTGATACCCGATAAACTTTTATTTAGCCCTTTTATATTCATGGCTTATGTATCTGCGTAACATGGAACATTCTATTACTAATAGTAAGTTCCGTCGAAGCTAATCTAATGGGCTGGGAGTTCGTCTGAAGTATTGTGATTTAATTACCCTCTTTTACCTCTTCCCTATCGTGTGATATCCTGCATTTTACAGATAACTCTTATTTTGTTATTTGGTATTCTATATTTCCCCAGAAATTTAACTGATTTGATGTTTGTAAGTCTTACCATTTACCTATACGTACTTTTCAATCTATTTTTATTTCCTTATTCCTCTAGATGCCATCCCTTAAACATCCTAATATATAAGCTGCTTTATTTGATTCTTCCCTTATACTAATACAGCATACAATAGGCCAGTTATTACTAATGATTTTATATATTTATTTTTACTTTTAGCTCAGTATTTCGCAGCACAAGCTCTCAAAGAGGTCACTAATAAAGAACCTGTTTTAATGGGAAAACCATCAGATATCTGTATACACTTTATCAAGGAGAGCTTTAATATTAAGGACTGCAGTAGGACATTATTTGTTGGAGACTCGTAAGTACTTTACCACTAACTTTACACATAACTAATGTACCAATAATTAAAAAATTATTAAAAAAAATTTATACAAATTAGAAATTAAAACGAAAATGATCTTTATAAAAAGATGTAAAGGAAAGAAACGGACTTAGTTAAGAATCGTACTCCGTAGAGGAGGTATTTTAAATATAGTGGAGGATAATATTTCTATAGGCCATTTTGAACGGTTATACTTACAATAGTGAAATTTGGAGAGAGGTAATAAATAGACGTAGGCTTACAAACTAGTCATACCAAGTGACGTAAAAGTGACAGATGACGTTACAGCGCCACTTTGACAGATAATTTTAAATAGGACTTTAGGCCAAGTAATAACTCGTTTGAAAAGTATTAAAAATACCCATTTAACCATACTAATTTTGATAAATAGATTAAATAAATACTAACATTATAGATTCGCATTTAATTAATAAATATTAAAACCTTTGCCTTTGGTTACTTGTCGAAAAGTTGACGTTTTTCAATTCTCTAATTGTTTTTACGTCAACGTCAACTTTTTTGACAATTTAATCAGATGCGAACATTATAATATTTATTAATTAAATGCAAAACTACAATTATTTTAATATACCTATTTAATCATATTAATTTTGTTTAGATTTAAAATGATTTTGACGAATAAGTTAAATAAATATTAAAATTCTAGTTTGGTATTTAATTAATAAAAATTCTAATGTCCGCCTCTGGTTATTTGTCAAAAAGATTGACGTTTGTCAACTTTCTAGTTGATTATAGCACAGAATAATAAACAATCAGAAGGGCCACTCTCAGATGCCGCCTTTGAAGTTTTTCAGCACGCGCGCCATGTTTTAGGAGGACACAAACATATGATTTGTGAGGTTATGCAATTGTTTACATTTATGTTTAATTATATTATATTTATGTTATTATATTTAAAACTGTTAATATAATTGTATAGTATGTCTATGATTGCCTTAAGTCAAATAAACCTGGTTTTTTTTCCATGCACACCACATAAATAACACTGGTTCCCTTTAAAATCCTCGTAAAACATGGCGGAACGTCTGCGCGAAGGAGATGCGCGTACTTAATTTTCCGTGGAGAGTGGGCATTCTGTTTGTTTATTATTCTTTGATTATAGTATGCAAAAGTGTTTATAGCTCAATATTTAGTCTGTTTCTGCTTAATTTAGTCAATTCTCTATGTATTTTTAGTTTGCTAACGCATTTATACCTAAATATTTAGTTTCTGTTTCTGCTTAGTTTAGTTAATTCAAGTTTTAGTTAATTTTTTTTTAGTTAGTTTTTCCTTAGTTAATATTTACTTTATTATTTAACAAGAGCCGAAGTACTGTAGCCGACAAAGTAGCAGCTGTGTTAATAATTGGTGAAGGTACCCCGATCGCCCTACATCGAGAGCTTATTTGAAGAAGCTTCTACGGAAGTTTAAACAAACAGGTAGTGTTCAAGGTTTCAAACAATCTGGTCGACGAACAATTAATGATGACAAAAAAATTGACATACTTTCAGAAATGGTAGTAAACCCTACCTCTTCTACAGCCCAAGTTGCATTGTACTGGGAACACCACTGTCGCCAAATGTACAACTACTGGGGCTCCGCTTCACCACTGTGATGTACTCGATATGAACCTTAAAGGATGCTTATCCCTGCGAGCGGCTGCAAGGAATACTGGTCCCACTAGTCTGGAGGGCTGGCTCGCCTTCGTGGACAATCTGTGACAATCTGTAATACTATAATTTACTCGGCTTAGTATATAGAATTTTGTTACCTTTCGCGTATTTAGGCTCTAGCTAATGATACGCCCTTCAGTTCCTCTGGAAATCGGATTTCTTTCAGTACCCGACACTTATACGGAACTATACCCGTCGAAATATAACAATCGCGCGTAATCCGCACCTGGTGCCGCCTATCGTTGCAGCAGCACCTCGCCGTAATACTGACTTACTGGACGCTACCGCCTCCGACCCGGCAATCACTGCCTGAGCGGGAAGTCATGGTGCCCAGCTATCACTGATCGCTTCCGCCGTACTACTCCTGCTTGGCCTCCTTAGTTTGTTTTTTATCAACGCGTGTCCTCATTGACCGGTTGTAGTACCAAGGTTGCGTTTTCGCTGAGTTAGTAATTCTATGCCTCATTTGGGACACGAGCGGTGTTATTTTTACAACAATAGTTTCTGTTTGACGTGATTTTTCTACGTTTAAACAATTATTAAAAATGCACTAGTTAGGTCAATTTCTTCGTGTAATTTAAAATGTGTACTTTACTGTATTAATTATCCCTTATCTAATTTGGGATATATAATAATCATTAAAATGATTATTACTCTACCATATGCTACTAACCTTTATTTTAATTCTTTACTTCCTTGCTATGTTTACATTACACTATGGAATCAATCAGAAAATAGTATACCGAGTGTTGGCTGAAAACAAATTTCATCCATTCAAATTAAAAATTGTGCGCCAACTTTCAGATGATGACCCCGACTGAAGACTAGAATTCTGTGAAAATATGTCCAATAAAATTAACCAGCAGCCGGATTACATAAAATCAATTTATTTTAGTGACGAAAGTACTTTTTCTCTCAATGGAAAGTGTACCTGGAGATGTTACAAAATGCAATTTAAACATCAATCCTTTTGAAATTCTGGAGAATAATCCAAATGAATTCGGTAACTTTTAAATAACCATTCAACAAGATGGTGCTCTGCATACCATGGCGCAGTAAGACGTTACCTAGATAAGGAATATCGTGGTAGATGGATTGAACAACGAGGTACAATACAAATCCAGCTCGGTCACCACACCTCACATCATTAAATTTTTTTCTGTCTGGATACTTAAAATCTTAAGTTTACGCTACAGCACCCGGCATTATTGACATTTTGAAACAACGAATTGTTGAAGATTGTAGGGCAATTTTCTCCGGCATATTTGAATGAGTACGGCTGAAGTAGATGGAGTTTTTTTAGTGCAGTTTTTTAACACTTAATATAAGAACTGGTTATTAAATATTTATTGATTAAATGAGAAGCTACAGTTTTAGTATTTATTTAATTTATTTATCAAAATTAGCTTGAACTCAAACAAAATTATTATGACTGAATATAGGTATTTTTAATACCTTTTAAACGAAGTATCATGCCATAAAGTCCCTTTAAAATTATCTGTCACAGTGTCATCCGTTGCTATTACATCATAGTTGAAAAGAATACGTCTGTTTATTATCTCCCTCCAAATATCACTATTATAACAATAACCGTTTAAAAGATACGAAGGGGGGGGGGGAACGGACTTTTGACTAGCATTGTATTAACATTTATCACTTTTGTTTTTTGAAGTTTGTAATAATTATGTTATTACTGTTTTATTTTATTTATTATTTTTAGTATTACATCAGATATGAGCATAGCAGCTAACGCTGGCTTCCAAAAACTTCTAGTGCTAAGTGGTGTTTCAACAACGGAAGATATCAAAGATTGGAAACATCCTGAAGAATATAAACCTGAGTACTATATTAATAGTCTAAATGATCTTAATAATATTATTAAAGTAAATTTATCTCTTACATAATTGTAATATAATTGAATCGGTCATTTTGAAAAGGGGTCACCTCCACTTTTTTAAATTTTACAGGTAAGGTAAAAAACTTTGGATCTTTATTACCATTAGGAAATAAAATATTTTTATGTATTTTTTGGTTTAATGATTAACTATACAAACCGATGAATATTATATAAATATATTTTTTAGGGCTATTTTTTAGGTTTATAAAAGGGCTGTCCTTTTATAAACTTTAAGACTTTGATATCATTGAAAATGACATTGTTTTTTCCTTCATCAACATTAAAATTGTATCCCCAATTATCTTGTTATCCCTTAATATTATAAATAAAATCAAACGTCAAACTATAGACTGTAAAAGGAGTACCCGTTTTCCATGCTCTTTTTATTGCAGCCATGTATTGAACAGGAGAATAAATAGATCCAATTTTCAAGTCTCTGTTTATTTATTTTTGTATAGCGATCCATGCAGCTATAAGTGAAGTGTTTCCATCTGCGAAAATAAAAGGATGTAGATTTTCAACAGCATGATAAACACTTGGATGAACACCAAGCCATACAATAATTTGCTGACTACTTGGTGGACAACTATATTTCTGAAGAGGCAGACTTCCCTCCTGAGATATGGGCGGAAAACAGTTCATCACTTGAGCCAATGCCTGTGAAACTTTCCATTCTAAATTTAATTCGTTATTTTACAATCCGCACCCTAATATATTTAAATTTTTAGAAGTTTTAAAAGATATTCAAATTGACACCTATATAAAAATACGAAGTTCTGTGAAATCAAAAAAAGTGTACCGAAAAGAACTTCTAGAGCGTCAAAAATTTGTTGATCACAAAATAGCGAATTAAAGCAAAATAAAATTAGTAGACTTGATTTTGTCAAATGTATTTCATATAGATTTCTAGCGAAATAAATTCCTCTTTTGGATTTATATTTGTTTAATTTTGTAATAGTAGAGAATATCCCATATTATGTTCGTTTTTACACTTGTATTGCTTTGTTATTATACCTATATTTTAGAATAGGCACAAAAATTATTTCAGTAATTTTCAAAAACAATTCAAAATTCCTAATATAATTTCTAAATCAATCACTAACATTTTTCAAAATACATAACAATAATGAGCGCGCTTATAACCGGCAAAATAACGCAAAAGATGAAAAACAAATTAAATTGTGAGATAAATAGAAATTAAACTAGTGGAGATGGGAAATTTAGCGATAGAACACTCTAACTCGATGGATAGAACCTATAAATTTACATTTCATTTATTGTTTCCCACCTTTAGACGTAAGAGTTTAAAAACTACCGCTGTTACAGTGACAGATTTAGTTGACATCCTCCTTTGATACGTCTAAAGTTGGGAAACAGTGAATATAATGTAAATTTATAGGTTTCTATCGCTAAAATTCTCATCTCTACTAGTTTCATCTCTTTTATCTTACAACTTCATATGTTTTCCATCGTTTGCGTTATTTTCCCGGTTATTAGCGCGCTTATTACTGTATTTATACAGTGGTGAGTGCCTTATCACCCGGCTTTTTAACGTAAGAGATAGAAAACGCCGTTACCTTGTGAAATAAAAGGAGATGAAACTCGTAGAGGTGGGAAATAATCGATAGAAACCTATAATTTACATTACATTACATTACGACTATCGATAGTCTCACACCTTTAGACGTTAGCTTCGATCTAAATCACCTCGGTCATAATGATTATGTTTGACAGTTTGACGTCGTATGTGTGACATATTTGAATTTTTTAATTTAGATAAAGTAAAAACTGATTGACCACAATAAAGCAAAAATGTGAATAAAATAATTTAATTAATAGTGATTACTTATTCTAAAGTTTTAACTTATTAACCAAGAATAATTTCTATTATGATTTGAGGAGTTTCATACACTCTTGTCACGGAATAATTAGCAATCCTTCGTGGATTAGTGGTAAGAATTCGACACTGCGACGCAGATGATTAGAGTTCAAATCGTACATGAGGTTTTCTTTTTTCTTTTTTTAATAATTTGAAATTATGCAGAGATCGTTTTGCTTTGAATCACTAAACATTTATGTCGGTCGTTACTAGTATTAGAAGTGTTTAAAGTTAAACATAAATATCTCATTGGAAAAAGTGTCCGTCATACTTTCGAAAATAAAGTAAAAATTCCTCAAAATTAAAAGAACGTTTAAAGAATGTTTAAATAAGTAAAAATTCTACAAAAATTAAAAAATATTGTAAATAAACGTATTTACAATTGTCAATTGTTTTAAAAATCATTACAGAGGAATTGATATTAACATTGAGAATTTAGTGATGGATTTGATATAAACAGTCTTCACCGGATTATTTTGCATTCACAACTGAAGACTGTATGAATTGAATTTGAATTATTTTGTATTTCCGTTTTATGACATTGGAATAAAAATAAATTGTAAATAATGAGTTTTTCGAAAATTTGTTACCTAATATGTATCATATTTTCTATTATTTTTTTATTGATAAAACAAAAATTTTATACTTGGTGTGAATTGAACCCCAATTTTCTCGTCAATAGACAACGTCCCTAACTAGTACACTAACTCCACATACATTAATTGTTTTCGGACAGAACATACCTACCCTTATTTTAGTCAAAAATTTGAGTTGAGTTATTTTTATTATTAAATAAATTTAAAGATTTATAATTTAAAATCGCTACTAATGAATGTTTTTTACTATAATATATCTTAATTTATTCAAGTATTTATTCTAATATCAGAAATTATTAAAATAAAATATTTTTGAGGTTATCCGTATAATTATGACTGAAGTCAAATAGCCACGTCTAACGTCTAAAGGTGTGAGACTGTCGATGGTGGTAACGCAATGTAATGTAACTTATAGGTTTGTATCGATTATTTCCCACCTCTACGAGTTTCATCTCTTTCTATTTCACAAGGTAACTGTGTTTTCTATCTCTTACGTTAAAAAGCCGGGTGGTAAAGCACTCATCACTGTATAAATATGTAACTATCAATATTTGATATAATTTCTAATATAAAATAGAAAAGCCGCAGTACCCATTTTCCTGGTGTTAATTTTCCTAGAATTTAATAGATAAATACTTAATCCGCTTGACCACGGGAGCGAACTAGGTTATGGTTTTCGGACGAACAAGTATGTAATTAAGAGGGTTTCTTGACCTTGGGAACGAACTAGTGTGCTCCGCAAAACAGAAACGTGCTGATTTCGTACGAAAATCATGTCATGTACATTGAATGAGCAATAATGTGTGAGCGGTAATTCTATCTCATCGATAATCGAACGATTCTCTGGCACTCAAATTACGAATTGACAAAATTTGAAAATCGCGTAACTCTGAATTCGCGGAAGTCAGGGTAGCCTTAGATGAGGTATTACTGTATTCGGAATTGTTGATTTTTTTAAAGAGGAATGTAAAAAGGCTTCCGCATAAGTCTACACTTACCCCTAGAATAATGAGTTTGAATCATTCCTCTTAAACTCTTGACTTCCCTGCTTATAGGGTTGATGGGTTTTAAATTATTTTTTTAGAATTATTTTTGATTGATATTTATTTTGTTTGGGGGGGGTCATGCTCCCAATGACCCCTCCTTAGATCTGCCACTGTTTATAACACAATAAGACGAAGAACATTATTTTAAAAATTTATTTACGCTTAGACCCCATGCCACCTATAATATAAACATATTGTGCACCTCACCAGTAAAGGGTTAATAACAGCAGCGCTGAACTATTCTTATATTATTTATCTATATTTAATTACATAAATTACATATAATAAAAAAATCACACACAAATATAAACTAAATATTTGGTTCACGACTAAACAAATAAAACAATAAGATAACGATATTAATATACTACTATTATATAAAAAAATCTGGTTAGTTACCTTTATAATTTTTTAAAAATGGGTGTACTAAAAAATCTTCATGCAATGACGAAAAGTGAACAAAAGGAGTTTTTTAATTCTTTTGATCAAGTATTATTTGAAGTAAAAGGTGAGTTTAGAATTTTTTTTATTAGAAAATTATTTGCTTAAATGTTTGTCAATATTCTATGGTCTTACATCCAAATTAACTAGAAGTTTAGCGATGAATACGCTATTATAATCATAATATGTTTTTCATTATGTTTTTCCTTGTTCTCGCTTCTGTCATCAGCTTAGTTTTCATGTCAATTCTGACGATTTTATAAACAATATAGCTCATAATACATGTTACTGTAAAATAAAAATTAAAATAGTATAAAATACGTTAAATATTTGTCGACGACCAGCAAATCAACTGAACCATCGCGTTGTGCTATGTTGAATCGAAGTTTATAGTCTCTAGCTGCCTGTTAATAATCGATTCATTAAGGGGTGATATTTCATCGAAAGCCTGCAAATGCGGTGCTCTCTGACATTCTCGACAAAATTTACCAAATTCGGTCTTTTCGCTGATACTATCATCAACAATTTCAGCTTATTCGCTAATTTATCACTCGTTTCATTCCAGTTCTTCTCTGCTGGTGGTTCGTTATCGATCTTCTTCGAGTCCGCATATGATGTGCTCTCATCAGTTTCCAACTCCTCTAAACTCTTCTCCACGGCTTTTTAGCAGGAACTGGCAGTGGGTAAATCATGCTGTGCGGCTGCTTGAAAATTATGTACACAGTCTCTAGCTTCTTCAACTGGTTGGAAAAGGTACCCCTTTTCATCGTTGTCTTCAACGATATAGTCTTATCCTCTCCTTCGTTTTACGCCGTCGTAAAGTAAATTAAAGTATAATGATATGGTTTATTCCAAAGTAATAGAAAATAAGTATGCTGTCTCATAAAATATCATTTTAGATTCCATAGATGCCAAAGTAAACATTTCACTAGACAAACTGAATACTATCAAGTGCTTCGGAGATATTCAGAAGCATGTAAGTTATTTAACAAATAATAGTGGAACCAAGGCAGAAACCGTACTAGACTTTTTACACCAACAAAATATTGTGACTCAAAGAGAAGACGTATTTAGGCCTATAGACTCAGTTATTGCTTATTTCAAAAATAAAGGTTTTAAAAAGGAAATATTTGTTATTGGCCCGAGCTTACTCAAACAAGAATTGGAGCATGCTGGTTTTGATTTAGCGGAAGAAGTTGTAAGTATAAAATTAATATAAATTTAAGTCTAATTACAGGCACATTCTTAAAATAAATGCAGTGATGATGTCAATGATTGGTTCTGGTGGAGTTTTATATTATTTAAGGACTGCAAGGGACATTTTTAGAGGGTTATTTGACTCAACATGCATTACATATAAATCAATACTACAATACATACTAAGAAATTTAAAAACTATGATGTCAATCTTATTAGTACTCAAATTAGAGGTTGCGCCTTAGTGGGCGCTCACGACAAGGCGTTGAACCCTCGCTCCGACCATTCGATCATACCATATTATCGATCGTCATGTAAAATAAATGCATTATTTTAAATGCAAGCGTTCACTGTCACTGCTATGCTCTAGGCGAGGATACGATGCGATGGTCTCATTTCAAAAACAGGACGTCTCTATTGGGAAACCCATTATTAGTTATTGGGTGGATATTCGACCTATCAGTAATAAGCTTCTGATCTATCAATGATTCCTTAAACCGGTGTGGACTTACGGTATCCAATTATAGGGATGTATCAATGAAAGCAATGTAAGTATCATGCGTAAGAATATTTTTTGGACACATAAGGAAATGGTTCTCCACATCAACAGCTAATGTATTAAAAGCACCAGTGAATAAAATTATTATAGCTAGAATGATCGCCAATATTTGAAACGATAGAGAGACATTAGCATTATAAGAAATATGTATGAAATATTTTATTGTCGAGTGTTGCATGTTGTCAAATACTATGCAGCATGGATCTTGAAGTCAGACATGGCTATATTATTTCATCCACTTTATTTCTGTAAGTGTTAAACGCTCTTATTAAAAAGGTCACCAAAACATCAGTGGACATTAACTAGGCATTGAGATGATCTTGAGTTTGCTCTTCGATGTTGATGATGAGATAATAGAAGCAGTCAACTTGTTTGTATATCTAAGAAGTGTTATACCAGCTGCAGTTGAGTAGCCCTAAATAATGTTAAAAATAATATTAAAATCTAAATGCTGTATTTGTTTAGTGCCCTCTTATTTGGAGAAACAGGTACATCTCCCACGAAGCTTCGCAATCTTAACACAAACGTTAAGTCTGTTCTGTAATAAAATGACAGAGCTAGGCATATTAAATTGTAGTCTTTGGAAAATCATAAATATTTGGTAGCTTGACAAACGAGTGTTGAGATAACAGTGTTAAAGAAAAAAGAACGGAAGTGGTGATAAGTTTAATACACTACGAGGAAATAAATATTGCCATTAAAGAGAAAGTTTTAAGCTGGAATTATCATGGAGATACAATGCCAGGTAGATTTAAAGATATCTGATGCAGAATCATTAAAAGAAAGTACAAAGAATTGTGAGGGAAAGAGAAAGAGAAAGAATTGAATACAAAAGTGAGAAATTTTAGACAAGAAGTTGCAAAATTGAAATGGAGATTTGCCGGACACAATATAAGACAAAAAGAAGACCTATGGAACAAAATTTTTATAAGTTGGAGACCGTGGGAATATAAACAAAGCAGAGGAAGGCCCCAAATGAGATGGGTATATGATATCAAGAAGCATGTGGGCTCTAGGTGGATGACTGTAGCGACAGACAGAGAAGAATGGAAAAGGATTGGGGAGGCCTATGTACAAAGATGGACCGAAGAAGGCTAATTAGATGGATAGACAGAATTGGAAATATTTAGGGCGGGCTTTTAAGGCCTCTATAGTATATAATACATTAAAGGATGTTGAAATTGTTTTTGGTTCGGTTATATGGCTTTACGTTTCTTATTATATTGGTTATTGAATTTTAATTTTTGTTTCCGCTAAAAGTATTCGACTTTTATATTACATTTTAAAATATCAATAAATAATTTTTTTTTAGCCAACTGAGATTGAAAAAAGTTTTGATGGTGTTTTTGTAAACAACAAAGACCACAGCAATGTGGAGGCAGTGATATTAGATCACAATTTTAATGTAAGTTTTATTATGCTACAAAAAGCACTCTGGTGCTTATTGAAACCCAATTGTGAACTTATCACTATAAATCCTGAAAAGGAAATTGTCACGGATCATGGAAGTATTATAGGTATATTTCTTTTTCATTCAATAATTGTTATAAAAAGGTGTTTAAATGATTATTATTCTAATATTAATTTATGTTTATTATTAGTATTTCTCATTTATTTATTAAAGTGCTACTAAATCTTCATAAAGAATCAAAGAAGCTGAAATAATCTGTAAACGTACTATCAGGGTTTTAGTATACGTGAATGACAGACTAGTGGGCATGGAAGAAAAAGTAAAATCTGGAAGAGTTATGTATAAGTCATTCTTGAAAGAAAGAGATGTATTATTATTTAATGATCGAATGTGACCTATACATAAATTAGTGAAGTAGATTGGATCTACAATTAATTAGTGAAGTTCAAACAGTGTTAAGACTGTCACCACGTTCCAAAACCCTTCTTAACTTCTAATCTTCATATATAATAAAGGATTAATTACGGCTGTCGCCGCTTCTCCGCTCCCAATTTCCATCTTTTTCTGTCATATTCAGTTGTCTCTTCTAAGTCTCTAAGAAATAAAGAAGACTTAGAAGAGATTTAAGAGACTTCTAATCTTTGCGATAGTTAATATTCTCCAAGTTTGTGCTAAGCGTTCCTATTTTTTTTTTGAAAATTCCACTCTAGGATAGTCTCTGCAATACCGAAACTCTTTTTACTAAGTGTGTGACCAACCCAACTTCACTTTCTGGAATTTTTCATTCACTATCTGCTTCTGTTCTCTCAGGTCTAGTAAATCTTTGTTTCTGATGGTGTTAGATTATCTATAAGGATTTTTGTCACTTCCAGGTTTCACATCCGTGAAGTAGAACCGATTTGACATTCAAAAATGAATTATTTGGATCTTTGTGTTTATGGTATACTGGCCAGAAGTCCAAATGGGGATGAGCATGCTAAATATATGTAAAATTCTACATTTTAAATCTGCAAACTATTAATAGTAAATAGTATGTTATTTCTTGTATTGATTTTCATGGAATTGGTTTTATTAATATTGATTTTCAAAACTACTTTGTTGGCTCCACTGGAAAGTATTGCCAATTAGTCAGCCATATCTTGAACCTTTATCCTAAGAGACAGATATCATCGGCGTATATTAATATTCTATAAACTACACTAAAGACGAAGAAGCGCTAAGACCAGTAAATTTCATTTAGAACTCACTAAGATCTATAATATAGGTAAGATAGAGATTCACTTAATTCTGACTTTGTTATTTTGCCAAAAAAGGCTAATACAAAGAATGTGAAAAATATAGAATTGGTATTCATCTATAATAGACATTTAGATCCAAACAGAGATAAGAAACATGACAGCGTACAAAGTGATCAAACAGTTTATTCATTTACGCTCCATATAAGTAAGAGTGGAGGGTTGAGTCATTTACTAAAAAATTTACCAATCTATAAATGAATCTATAGAAAATACAAGGAACAACTGGCCAACCTGAGCAACAACTTACTGTACAAAACAATCCCATCGAGTGGAAAGCGAGGCCAAATACCTGGGAGTCATCATGAATAAAGGACTAAGGGAGAGTACCCTCCAAACTGGCGTGGCAAGTAGCACGGAGCAAGTAGCACGCGTCTAGCATGTTTCTTAAAATGTAACCAATGAAAACGAATGATTAGAATAAATGACATCACTGTCATTTTGGTGTGCGCTGAATCATTCGTTTTCATTGGTTACATTTTAAGAAACATGCTAGACGCGTGCTACTTGCCACTTGCCACGTGCCACGCCACTTTGGTGGGCGCTGTCACTAAAGCGTAGAGCACGCTTTTAAAAAGCACGTAGACGCCATAGTGCAAAAACCAACATGGCTAAAGCAAATATTAGAGGATTCACAGGTAGAAAAAGTAAACTAAGGATCTTATCTGTGTATTAAAAATAAGATTAATAAACAGTATCATTCTACCGATACTCACATACGCATCTCTCGCATGGGGACACACCTGTGAAACCGCAAAGAAGAGGATCTAAACAGGTCACAACAACTGTTTAAGAGCAGGGACCTACAACAGGTCAGGGTTATGGAAATAATGAACAAAAAAGCCAGGATTAAATTCGCAGAACTGAAAAACCACCCTAGTCCCATACTGCGAGAAATCATGAGAATCATTGGAAACACAAGAAGCCTAAACAACAAATAGTGGAATACATTAAGGAACTAAAAAAAAACCAAGACAAAAATAGTAATCAAATAAACTAAATCACTAGAGAGAACAACAAAAATTCCAGATAGAAAAACAAATATGCCAACAGAGTATAGTTTGTAGCTCTACAAGTCGATAGACACTACTAATCGCTGTGTCTATGTCATTTTAACTGACAAGAACCACGTGTTTTTTTACAGTTTTTAGAACATTGACAACCATTGTCATCGACCTAGAGTCGCATTATAATTTAAGTTTAAATATTCTTCTTCTTCTTCTTTAAGTGCCATCTCCGTGATGAAGGTTGGCAATCATCATAGCTATTCTGACCTTCAAGGCAGCTGCTCTGAACAATTGCCTTGAGCTGCAACCAAACCACACTCTCAGGTTCTTCAACCAAGAAACGCGTCTTCTTCCTACGCTTCTCCTACCCTCTATTTTTCCTTGAATTATAAGTCTCAAGATGTTGTATCTTTCGCCTCTCATCACATGTCTGAGATATTGCAATTTCCTTTTTTTTATTGCATTTAAATATGTATACCATATATTGATGTCTCCACTGCAATTTTTGTGTTAGCTACAAGTACCAAAAGAAGGCACTAAGAATGATCTGACCTAGATCGAATACGTTATGTATATAAATTTTGGAAGACACTTTTAACAAATTTTAATTTAATTGTTTCTATACCAAGATACAAATTTTTTACTTCTGTACTTTTTACAGCAATTAAAAGTCAGTAAAGTATAAAGATAAATTGGATATATTTATTTATCATTGAAGTGTGAACTATTGTTTTGTGTTTTGTAGGAACATATTACTTTGCGAAAACCTTAAGGGATATTACAAAAAAAGTAGATGTTAACCTTGGTCAGTCTTCAGTATACTATCACAAAGCTATTTCCAGAAAGTTTCAAACAACCGATCCCAAACGAATTCTATATATAAGGGAGCTGTAAGTATTTTTTATACAATGGGCAATTGAAAACAGTGTACACGAATATTTGTCCCAATTCTGTCAATAGAACTAATATTCGATACAATCAAATTAAGGTATCCTTAAAATGTAATCCTTGTAATTTAAAAATGGATTTTTCAGCATTTTGAAAAAATCTAATCTAAATTGAACATAAATAGTGAATAAAGAAATAATTTATAAGTTATATACTAGAGAATATTATAAAAAGTTTTTATATGAGGGTATTCTTCAGAAATTAGCATAATAATAAGTTTAAAAAGTTTTTTTTTTAATAATTATATTATAGATGTATTTGGGTGCACCATGGGCATAGGCAACCAAATATACACTGTATTATGACATAGAGTGAATTTGAACAGAAAATAGACATTTAAAATGATAATTCCGGATTTAAAATAGTGTTATTTATTAATTTAAGATGTTTAATTGACATATAAGTTTACATTCTGATCTGGAAAGCCTAAATGTCCACAAAACTCCATAGAAAAGTTAAGAATTATCTAATACATTCAAATAAGACGTCAATATAAGGAAGTTAACCTTATTTGCATAGTAGAATATTCGAGAACATTTAAATATCTAGGAAATAGAAGGATTCGAATATGATTTCTTTCAAGATGATTCTGGAACAATGAAATGATATAAATACTCTGGAATTTAGATTATTATTTAGATTATAGGATAGAGGACAGTTAGTATGAGAATTCATTAAGCAGTCAGTCAGTCAGTCGGTCAGTAAAGAGTACAAGCAGTTCATTAGTAGATAGTATACAGTGATCAATATTACAGTATTAATTATACAGTACACTATGCAAAACTCAGTCATTCAAAGTTTTATAGTATTAAAAGTGTATTACGTGAAGATTAAAAATTATATTATGTATATGGAGATTAGAAGAAGTTAAAATTATAATATTCATATGGTGATTGGAGATTGGAAGAAGAAAAAATAAGATTATAAGAAAGAAGATTATCAAAAAGAAGAATAAACAAGAAAAAAGAATATTTTGCACATTTATAAATGCTATTAAGAAGAAAAATTTTTTAAACTGGTGGAAGCTGATAATTAAAACATTCTGGTGTATTTGGAAAAAGCAATTTCACAAAAACAAGGATAACCGAGGCTGATAACGAAGATATTGAATGGTGATTAAACCCTTTATTTTGGAAAACAGTTTCATTTAGGCATTCAGTGACAGCAAGGTACCAAATTTTGTTAATATAATTTAATTATTGTAAGAATTTCAATTTTAAGATAGGTTGTTCTAAATTTATACTGTCTATATTAGATATATATGTCTGTTTCATAATAATTATAATAAAGATAATTTAAAAAAGTACTTAAAAACTAATTCTTTGAGAACCGCCATAAAAACCCTATACTCATATATGTTATTTTAAAATACTCATTGCTCATACACAAACAAAACATCATAGCAATATATGTATATATATATATATATAATATATATATATATATATATATATATATATATATCTATATCTATCTATATATATATATATATATATATATAATATATATATATATATATATATATATATATATATATATATATACTAGTATATGCTTATTAAGGATTTTTTGCTTTTAGAGACACAAAATTTAAAGAGATAGAAATAAAGGAGAACTTTCAGGAAATCCTGGTAATACATGGTACTGACAAAGAAAAAGAAGATGAATTGAAGAAGCACCGGAATAGCAATTGCCAATATTATGTAGATAATTGGGATACTTTAAATAAAATAATACGTGGCATGTACTAAATATTTAAACACATAAAAAATAAATTGTTTCACGATACATACAGTTTTATTAAGGTCTAGGACTACCGGATTACAATTTTCACCGTCAAAAACTAAATGTATTTTATTCACACCAAAACATAATACTCTAACTCCACATCTGAAGCTATATAATCAATCCCTCAGTTTTACAAATAATATCAAATTTTTAGGTATGGTTTTCGACCAAAAGCTCTCCTGAAAAAACATATAGAAGAACTTAAAGAATCATGCAAAGCAGGATTAAATTTTATGAAAACAATGTCCAGCAAAAACTGGGGAGCAGATCAAAATACACTATTGCATGTATATAAATCTTTAGTTAAATTCAAACTCTATTACGGTGCCATAGTTTATTCATCAAGCAAAGTATCAGTATTGAAAACCTTCGAAAACTTTTAGAAAAAAATCCAGTTAACGCCTTTATTATTATTATTTTTTTTTATTGAGTTTAATGCGTCGACAACTAATGGTCATTGGCATGGTACAGTGAATTTTTACAGTCATGTATTTAGTGTAGAGTGTAGTGTGTGTGTGTAGAGTAATTGTCTTGTTGTGTGTGTGTCTAATTGTATCCGAACATCTGCGGTTCCTCCGGTGAGTACCGATCGCACAAGGATAGAAATTATTTTCATTTATTATTTTTAATAAACGAAAATTTCTCCACACAGGTGAGATTCGAACTCACGACCTTTAGGTTCAAAGGTAGACGCTCTTACCACTGAGCCACAGAGGGGGTCCTTTATGGTTAAATTGTTTAATAATACTATCACTTAATATAACAACAGAAAGTTAACTGTATCTAATCCGATAACAACTAGGTTATATCGACTTCCTAAAATTCATAAAAACAATTGTCATATAAGGCCTGTTGTCAGTTTTTGTAACACTCCAGTTTCTATATTATCAGAGTTAATAGAACATTTAAATAACATTAAAATAGAAGAGAGTTTTTATTTAGTTTTTTTTTTGATGTTTCCAATTTGTTTACTTTTGTACCAAGAGATAAAACATTACCTTTAGTACACAACCTTTTAAACATTTGCAACATACTGGCTAAAGACAAAGATGCTATCTTAACCATGCTTAAATTCTGTCTTAATCAGGACTTCTTCCAATTTAACCAAAAAATATATAAACAACCAACAAGTTTAGCAATGGGATCTCCATTATCACCTTTTCTAGCTGATGTTCTTTTGGACAGCTTAGATCAAAACTTTGTTAACAACAACAACAAAATAGTTTTTTGGTTTTTTGGTTTGTTGATGATTGTATAGCCTTCATACAAGGAACCCAAGATGACGCTTTACCGATTCTGGATGGTCTTAATAACCTCCATCCTAACATCTCTTTTACATTGGAACCAGAATCTGACAATAAGCTAAACTTCTTGGATATGACTATATCTCGTAATAAAGATTCACTTGAGTACAATATTCACAGAAAACCCACCCAAACAGATCATGTTATACATGAGACATCTAACCATCCAACCCAACATAACATGGCTGCTTTCAATAGTTATATTCATAGGTTACTCGAATTTCCACTTTCGAATGATAACTTTAATTTAGAACTTAATAATCTCAAGCAAATTGCTTCAAATAATGGTTATGATCCCAACATTCTCCATAAGCATCTAAATAGAGCTAAAGTCAAAATTGCAGAAAAGCTGCTTCTAACATCATCAGATATTTCTGTTTTACTTATATTAGTAATATTTCCAATAAAATAGCTAAACATTTTACTTCTACAATTGAAAACATCAAAATTTCTTTCAAGTCCCACAACACTTTAGGTTCCTTTTTAATTAACACCAAAGATAGGATGAACACACTTGATAAAAGTGGTATTTATAAATTAAAGTGTGATGATTGTAATGCCTCTTATGTAGGTAGAACCATTAGAAAGTTATCTACTAGAAGTTTAGAACATTTGAAAAGACCAAACTCTTCAAGTTTTGGTCAACATTTATTATCTAGTAAACACAATTTTAACATCAATACTGGTTCCTCTATTTTACATGACATCAGTAGAAAGAAAAACTATTTGGAGTTGGATTTATTGTAAGATTTGGAGATTACAAAGGAAACAAATGGAAACTCTCGTTGTCTTAATACTTAATTTAATTTAAATTGTACAAAGTTTAAACCTATTTTTAAAAACTTTATTGCAGCTTCACCTCGTCGTGGACCCACCTCGGCTGTTTAGACTCCTGTACTGAGTATACCCATCAAGAATTTGTTAATTTCATACTTTGATCAATATTTACGTAATTACAATTAAATTTACAATAATTACACTCTCCATGCCTCTGCGTAATTTAAATATACCAATTCCAGAGTTGTATATTTCAACATCTCCCACTGTTGGTCAGTCAGTTGGTCTTTAGTAACTCTTTTACATATTAGTTTTAGAGTTCTCCCATTGACTAGGGGTTTAACTGAACTACTTGAATTATACCCATTTATACACTGCTTTCAATTTTGTTTAAATTTTAGTATTTTAATTTTATAGTCAGATTTCTTCTCTTTTACAGTATTGATAGTGCCCGGTAGACCATTTTATTGTAGTCATCCACCCACTGTCTAATAGTTTGTTTAGTCTATTTCTTTCATTCACACTTTATGACCACTTCATTTGCTCTCAAACTAACAACCTTATTAATACAGACAGGTGTAAGTGTGAGATCGGGATTATGCAATCTAGTTAAATTAAAATATTCTATATGTCATATTTCATAAGTTGATTTTCTATAGTAGTGTTAGTTGGACCTTTGGTCAATGCCAGCTTACTTACACAGAATTTTAATTTGTGCTGATCACAGATCCATGATTGTGACTGTCCATCAATGCTGTCATATGTCACATGTCAGCTTAACATTTCTATTAAATGCCATTCTCTCTCCTGTTGCCGACAAGAATGTAGCGCAGAGTAATTTTCAAATAATTTTAAACTATTTGTTCTTGTTTTAGTGTAGTGTTATGTACAATTTATGTCTATTTTCATGTTCATTACATTCTGCGCTTGCTGGATAGCCCAAATTTGACGAAGTAAGACTAAAACGTTATTTCATTAACTTGGAGTTTTTTTATCGAAGTTATTCAGTTTTCTTTATTAAAAAAAAAAAAAAACGTTTCTTGGCTCATTCCAGATGCCCCTGATGATATTGTAGATAGCGAAAGTACTTGGGTAAGATTTGATTATTAAAATTGTGCTCGATATTTACCTTTAATTTTTTAAAGTTCCTTAGAAAACTGTTCAAAACATAGCTCTACGAATAGCTACAAGTGCGTTTCGAACGACACCGGTTGCAAGTTTACAATGCTTAACAGGAGAACCACCCCTAAATTTACGATGCAAATACATTTCTTTCTCACATGCTTCTAAAATAGCTAGTAATAAAGAACACCCTACTTATACCAAAACGTTCACAGATCGATTTCAAGATACTTTCTCTACAACAAAGACTTAGAAGAAACCTTCATGACCTATATCTTGAATTTCCTGAAATTCTCCCAACAAATTTCCTAACTTCTCCACCCTGATTAATACCAATTCCCAAGATTAATACTAACCTTACTATATATATATATATATATATATATATATATATATATATATATATATATATACATATATATATATATATATATATATATATATTGAAATGATTTCAATATGTTAAAAAGGATACAACTTAAATGGATTTTTATATGAGTTTGTTGTTCATGAATTTCATGAAGCCATCACAATGTGGGGTCGACTCTGAAATAAAAGAGAGAAAAAGATTAGTAAATTGTTAAATAAATTAATTTTGACTTACCTGGTATAGTGTTAATAATTTCTGAACAGTAAAGTTGCCTAGTGTATAGGTGAATCGTCTACACCTTAAAAAGAACAAAAAAGAAGAATTCTTAAAAAATATTTAAACATAGAAATTTTAAAAAAACGTCAGAGAATAAACTGTCCAGCAAGTCTGTGGGAGCTAAATTAATAGGGGTTTTGTTAAATAAAAAATTACAATGATGTGGAGATGAAAAGAATAAATTGTATTAGCATTGTAATAGAATAAGTTTTATATCTGAACATTTTTTTTTATAAATTCCCAAACTAGATGTGAAAAAAGTGATTATGGGAAATTAATGTGGATTGACAAATGTGTCAGAACAGGACAGGTTTATGGTTAAAAAAAAAATAGAAGACGAAAAAGAAAAGAACGTTGGTTGCTGTTAGCAACGGAGAATTGGTTTTTTGAAGGGGCCGACGAGGATTTTTCGACGAAGGGGAGCCCTGAAACTGTGGAATAGGTCGGGAGGGTTTTTTAACTTATCTAATTAGAATTTTAGTTTTTCCACAGTTTCCACAGCAGAGATATCCAGAATTTGTTCCAGAGAGTAAGAGAAACAATTTGACTTATAAATTATTATTGGAGTACAGAAATGTCATTTAAATTGAGAAAATTAAAATTCATGAATTAACATAGTTGCGATAGGCCTTAAAAATTGAAAATATTAATGATCATTAAATTAAAAATAGAATAGTACGTACCTTAACTTCCGAAGAGAGGATTGATATTCCAGTTTCACCGATTATTTTGCGAGTAGTTAGTTTTCTTTAAATAAATTAGAACTGTTTTAAAGTGAGGTTGGATAATAATTTTGGGGATCATTTGAAATTTTGATTATATTTGAATGCAAGTTAAAAGTCAGCGAAATAAGGTGTTCATTTTCTTTTTCTTTATAGTTCATTTAAACACTTTATAAAGTTGCAATATTTATTTAGTTTTTAGGTACTTGTAGAGAGTCTCCACATTTTGTAATAAATTTTTATTGTCACGACACTAAACCACATTAAGATTTATACGATTCCTATTTTTGTAAATTTTTAAAGGCAACCCAAGTTCCAGACGAATTTTATTGTTTATATTAAATTTGTTCAATATTAATAAATAACGTGCTTTATTTGGGTTAATTTATCAA